GGTAACCTTGGAAAGCTGCTCATCCTTACTATGCGGGTTTACTGTACTCCCCAAACGGCGGATATGTGTACGGGACCTGTATAATCCCGGGACGCGCCCCAGAATGGGCCAACCAACCTTAGGTCGGGCGTGCCCCTTTAAGGTGGATTTTGGACGAAGCAATTTGTACATAGTCAAACAATACTCCAAAATTGCCAAATGTAGTCCAAATATCGTCCCCAGACTATGTTTGGACTATCTTTAAATATTCCTCCTGTAGAGAGGCAGGCTCGACTCAACACCAACCTCGAAACGCCCGCGGCAGCGCCGCTGACACGCGGAGCCCCGTCCTTGTCCACGAGCGGGCACAGCGTCCTGGCGGGGGGCCCACCCCCAGCTCCCTCCCCCTCTGGTCCACCCTCCCTCCTCCCTCCCATGCTCCCTCCCCTGCTCCCTTCCCTGCTCCCTCCCCTCCCTCCCTCCCTTCCTCCCTCCCCTCCCCCTCCATCCCTCCCTCCCCTCCTCCCTCCATCCCTCCCCTCCACCCCTCCCTCCACCCCTCCCTCCCTCCATCCCTCCCCTCCCTCCCCTCCCTCCCTTCCTCCCCTCCCCTCCCTCCCTCCCCTCCTTTCTCCATCCCCTCCCCCTTCCTCCCATTCCCTGACGAAGTCGGGGTGCGTGGCATCTCTCCCATCCCCATCCTCTCTCATCCATCCATCCCACCCCCATCTCTACCTTCCCATCCGTCTTCCTCTGCGTCCCCCATCCCTCCCATAATTACACGTTCATCCCTCCCCTCATCCATCCCCCCCCTCTCCTTGGGTATCCACTCCACGGGCCTCTCCGGGGGCGTTCTGCCCAAAATTTCGAAGCGAATTCACCCGTGACGACGGACACTCGGGGGCGGCAAAGAGGGGGGCGTCCAAGAGGGGGGGTGCAAATCATGGCCGGCGGCATGTGCGCGGCCCAGCGGGTGGGCCAGGGACGTCATGAAACAAGAAGAGGCACCATGCAATCTGGGGAAATATCATGGCCCCCGCCATGATATCCACCCCCCCTAGTCATCACCCCCCTCTTTTCCGCCCCCGAGACACGCGGAATCACTGAGCCCTGGACACCGCGGGGCCTTCCCCCAGAAGCAGCTCTCCACCCGGGGCCCCGGGACATCTAAGCCGCTCGAGGCCCCCGCGGGGGGCCCGACTCCCAGGGCCCCCGAGAGCTGAGGAACACGTGGGACGCACAAGGACATACTACTACTATATGTCCTCCTCCGTTTCCTCCTCCTCCAACTCCTCCTCCTCCTCCTCCTCCTCCTTCTCCTCCTTCTCCTCCTCCACCCCTCCTCCCCCTCCTCCTCTCCTCCTCCTCCTCCTCCTCTTCCTCCTCCCTCCCCCCCCTTTTCCTCCTCCTCCTCCTCCTCCGCCTCCTCCTCCTCCTCCTCCTCCCATTCCTCCTCCTCCTCCTCCAACTTCTCCTCCTCCTCCTCCTCCTCCTCCTCCTCCGACCAACACGACCAAGACGGCCACATTCCAGGGTGGAAATTCGACGCCAACCAACTGGAGTCGGTCACGGAGGCGGCGATGATTAGCGATTTTTTCTCAGACATTTCAGCGCCAGCTCTGGGCTGACGCCTCTCACACATATTGCGGTGGCGGCATCGAGGACGGTCTAAACAACCACAGCCTCCGCAAGCAGCTCATCCAGCTTGAAGCTCTTCCTCAGGGGCGCAGGCTTGCCGAGATGCTATTGACCATCGCTGTGGGAGGGGTCTGGACAGAGTCCAGGCGCAAAGACAGTGGATACGACTGTTCAGGTTTGTGTGACAGATGCTCAGATCAAGTCAGTAAGACGCCGTTACATCGGTTCCTGCAATGTGCGTGCAATTCTGGATCCCACATTTTCGACATGACGGACGACCTGTGCCACCGTGCGGTTACACAGGCCAATTTAGCAGAATGTGTTTGGTTCCGAGGGTTGATTCCAGCCAAGTGGACTGAGGTTGATAAGCCGACACAAGAGGAGAAATGGAAAGGCATGGGACAGACTCAGGCTGACACTTTCTCTTTCGGCATGGGTTCGATGGCCCAACCGTTGATTATATATGGAGATGCTTCGGGAGGTGCTGACACACACGATCCACGACTTCGTCGAGTTGGGTTGGCGGCGGCGGCAGTTTCTCCTGAATCGAACGAAGACTTTCCCGTCTTGTTCGGTCCCTTGCCAGGCGACCGCCAGACGGTTGCGCGCGGGGAGCTGTACATGCTGGAGGTCTCAATTCGTTGGTCCTCAGGGCCGACGGTACATGTTACCGACAACGATGAGGTCTGCAGAGGCTGGTGGGCTCGAGCTTACGACCAACCGACAGGCCCCAACGCCGACATCTGGAGGGCCATTCGGAAACATCTGAAAGTTCGAGCCAGCAGCGAGATTGTTGTTCTCAAGGTGGCCTCACATCTCGACGGGCGACAGGTCATCGAGCAGCAGGTGCCACCGTGGATGGTCGAAGGAAATGCATATGTGGACGTCCTCGCGGGAATCGCTGCTGGCGAAGCTCGAGTCCCTGAGGCCCAGAGAGCTCGTGTTCAACAGGTGGAAGCAGATGCACGGCTGGTTCGACTTCGGCTACTTCGGATATGCCTTGAGTCAGCCGTGCACAGTGGCAAGAGGAACTGTTCTTCTGAAGCTCCTGCCATGCCGCATCCCCCTCGACCCCATGCCGTCGCTCTTCTGGGTTCGTCTCACAATGTAGATTGCAATGGTAAGAGATGTTTGGTGTGTCGGGGCTCGTCTTCAGACGCCAACTTGAAGAGTTGGCTCGGGACCCCGTGTTTTCCGCTCGTGTTTATTTCCGACAAAGTTTCTGCCTTGCCCAAGGGTCGGGTTTTAAATCTCGCAGGGGGTGTGGTCCTTAGTTCCCATAACATGAGGTATCACGAATCTCAAGAAGTTTGGTTCTGTGGCAGTTGCGGGTCCGTCGGTTCAGCTCTACTTAGCAAGAAGCTGGCGGGGGCCTGCCTCCCACCCACCTCCACTGGCAAGGAGTACCTCCGTCGTTTAGAGAGAGATCTGCCGCCTAAAGCCCTCAGCAAGGCTGAGGTGGCGGCCAGGGCTTAATCATATATAGACTCGCTTCGCGACCGCTCTCATCTCATCACCTCCTCCTCCTCCTCCTCCTCCTCCTGGAGGCGCGCGTCCGACCCGCAAATGTAGTATACCCATCTTGGAGTAGATCGTCTCCCGAGCGGCGTGGCCAGAAGCGCCCGCCACGACACAGATAATACTACAAGATTTCTCGGTGCACGCGTCGCCCCTGGGAAGGCAACGCACACACACATATATATATATATATGTATGTTTACTTTGCTTGGGCGACGCCAAACACATGCCTGACTCGCTTCCCTCATTCGGGTCGGGCGAAAGGGGGGGATAGCAAAGGGGGGGTTTGAGAATCAGCTCACGTAGCTGATTTTCCCGGCGCCTCCCGGCGCCGGAGGCGCCCATGTATCGAGGAATGGGCCCCTCGGTGAAGCCGAAATCAGCTGCATGCAGCAAATTTCGTAACCCCCCCTTTCCCAAACCCCCCCTTTCGCCCGACCCGACTCATGAGCCCGTTGCTTACCAGCGGCCTGCTCCTCATCCTTCCCGGGTGCGCTGGAGGGCAGGGCCGGTAGCAGAGAGGGTCAGCGCATCACGGCCCGAGGCACGCGCAGGGATGTGGGCGGGACCAGGGGCGTGTGGAAAGAAGAAGAGGACTGAAAAGCATAACAAGAGGGAAACAAACTCTATACTCTCTCTCTCTATATATATATATACATATATATATATATACATGTATATATATACATATATGCACACACCGACGCTCTTTCTGGCCCTGCACGGAAATGTTTGCAGCCAAGAAAACGGATTCTGGTGTATGCAGGGCCCTGGTGTGTAAGTGTAGGTACATGTTTCGTTGACTCCCTGGGAACACGGGGGAACAAATATGCACCGCACCACACCGACGTCGTCCCCATCCCTCAAAAAGTCCTGGCATTGAACACCTGCCCGTCACTGGTAATGTATATGTTCCAGCTTCCGGGGAAACGCAACACCTCAGAAGAAGTAAGACACACATCGGGCCATGACATCTGGGAGGCCTCATGGCCTGGGCGGTGAGATCCCCGCCCCTGTCGACGGAGTGTAAACTTAGGTCGGGACATGTTTTCCTACAGGCGGATTTCCGCTGGAAAATAAGAAATAGTCAAAACATACGCCACAAATGCACAACAGTACTCCAAACAGTGTGCCCTGACTATTTTCTGTTTTTGACTATTTCTGAAGGCTCCTCCTGTAGAGGGGCAGGCCCCACTTACAAGTAAATTGAGGCAACGGCGGCTCCCCGGCTCCGTGCTGACTGGTCCTCTGGAGCAGAGCCGGCCGTGGCGACGAGAAGCCCCTGGCTACGAAACCCGCAAAGACATCTGGGGGCCACCGCCGCCTCGACGAGCACCTCTCCGACGCACACTCCCCCCTCGGGTCGGACGAGAAGGGGCTTCTAGGCGAAGGAGGGGTGGGCGAACCTCGGCGGCCAGCCGGGGGGGGAAGCGAGAAGGGGCGGGCCTTCTCAGCAGGCTCGGGAGTCACACGGGCAACTTCTCAGAAGGCCGGGTGACTTCTGAGAAGCCCCGCCGCCTTCTGAGAAGGCCTCCTCCTTCCCATTTCCCCCCCTCGCCTGCCGCCGAGAATCGGCTCACGAGGCTGATTTTCCCAGCGCCGATGCCAACGTACGCGGCAACTTTTGTCACCCCCTCTTTCCCTACCCTGCCATTCCGGTCGGGCGAAAGGGGGGGATAGCAAAGGGGGGGGGTTGAAAATCAGGTCACGGAGCTGATTTTCCCGGCGCCTCCCGGCGCCGGAGGCGGCCATGTCTCGAGGAATGGGCCCCTCGGTGAGGCCGAAACCAGCTGCATGCGCAGCAAATTTCGCACCCCCCCCTTTCCCAATCCCCCCCTTTCGTCCGGCCCCTGCCATCCGCCGATCTGTTTCGTCAATCCGCGGCCCCCGAGGTCCCGGCGGCTCCCTCAGGGATAGCGGTTCGTCCTGGATATCCGTTTCGGATGGCCCCGGGGGCCGAGGACGGCCCCCGGGGGCCGAAACCAAGCAAACACCGCCAGCTGAAGAGAACGTGGTGCGAGAGCTGGGTACTCAGAGGAAGAAAACACGTGGCGCTCTGCGCGGATTTCTTGGCTCTGCGCTGGACCCCCCTCCCCGGCGCACGGAGCGCGCCAGAGGCGGCGCCGGAGGCGCCGCCGGGGGGCCCGCCGGCGGCGGCGCCGCCGCGCGGAGCGCCACAACTTTGTATGTGTGGCGTTTTTTGTTCTTCCTTCGGCGGTGGACAGACCGCCCTTTGAGTAAACCTCCCCGTAGTGAAAACGGCCTAGGACCGAAACCGACGGACCTGGATCCGCAAAGATGACGGCGGCGCCGCCCTCTGGCGAACCGGAAACGGCCACTTCGTTAATCGACGTGTCAGGGTAGGAGGTCTATCAACCTCCGATTCCTCGAGTCAAGGTCAACTCTGGTCGGGGAGCCTAGGGGGCACCTCGCTCCGCAGGCGGAGAAGGAAGGCACGAGGCACTATACGGCAACATGGCGCGAGTGCAAGAGAAGAGTGGCGGAGAGGGCGATGTTGAAACACGTGCATTGCACATGGCGGATCGGGCGATCGAGTACCCCCCCCCCTCCGGGTGGGTTCTGGCCCGAATTTCGAGGATAGCCTTAGCTCGGGCGTGTCCCCCTACAGAGAGGATTTTGGGCGAAAAATTAATAGACCCACAAATACTCCAAGAAATTCAAAACATGCCCGAAAAATGGTCCCCAGACTATATGTTGACTATTTTTGAACGTTCCCCCTGTAGGGGGACAGGCCCGACTTAAGAATACCCCCCCCCCCTCTGGGTGCGTTCTGGCCCGAATTCCGAGGGTAGCTCAGATGTGGTGCCGACGGCTCTCTGGGACGCGTGGCGGCAGCGGTTTCGCCAGGCCCGCTCTCTGCGACGCCCCCTTGCCCCTGCCCGCCCCAAAACGACGACGACGGCGGGGCAATGCGAGGCGGGGATGGATCCATCACTGCTTGGGGGAACCGACGGAAGTCCTGGGACTCTAAGATTAGGTCGGGCGTGTCCCCCTACAGGCGGACTTTGCACGAAGAGTAAGAAAGTAGCCAACAAAGATTCCAAACATGGAAAAGCCTAAAACAAAACAGAATCATCCCCAGATTATTGATTTACTATTTTTGAATATTCCTCCTGTAGAAGGACATGCACGACTGTAAGTCTAAGGGAGCGGTGGATATGGAGCCCCCAGGGGGCCCGACCACAACCACTGCCCTGGGACCCCATGATAGGGAGGCCCTGGATATGGAGGCATGGACCCCAAGGGGGGTGGTGGATACGGGTATGTTTTTGCCCCGGGGGCGGCGGCGGCCAAACATATCCACATTCGCCGCTTGCCGAGGAGTCCGAAGAGCTATTCCCCAGGCGGCGGTCATGGATACCTCTCCGATGGCGCCCTTTTCTGAAGGGGCGCCCGGGTCCTCTCGGCCTCGGGCAGTTCGAAGTGGCCGAAGCCGACCACCTTCCAGCAAGACCTGTCTGCCGCGAAGACGACCCGGACCTCCTGGGCAAGCCGCTTGGCCGATGATCCGCAGCACGTGTGCTGGCGCCAAACGTCGATAAAAAATTGTAGCCAGAGGAGGCAAAGTTACCGATACCGCGACCCTTGCGCCTCGGCTTCACCCTTGTGGGCCTCTGGGGAGGCCCTCGTCGCCACGGCTGGCTCCGCCTCGAAATTCTCTTCGGAACGCACCCTGGGAGAGGTCCAGGGAGTAGCGGCATCAGCAACTCTCGGTTTCCACAGCTGGTCCTCAGCAAGGGTGCTGGCGGCAACGATGGCAGAGACCGAGACGGGGGGGCCCGCTCAGGCGGGGGGAGGACACATCGAGCTATAATCGGTGCACATCGCCAATAGATTGGCGATAGGCCCCAGCTAATCAATCCGCACGCTTTTGTGCGGGGTTGGCTGTCAGGCTTCGATCGGCGATGACTGTTTGATTGCCGGTCGATGCATATCCCCCTGAGCCTATCCCCCCTCACGTTGCCCGTGGAAACGTGTGCTTGTCCACGGAATCCCTTCGGTAAGACGCGGGCGCTATCATGGTGGCCGTCGGAAGCTGCGTGCCGTGGGTGGACCTGGACGGGGATACAACACACACTGGGCCAGCACACATCCTGAGGATCATCGAATACAGTCGGGGCGTTGACCTAAGGAATCCTAAATAAGGAACGAGGCCCCTTTTTTCCATAAGCTAAACTTCGATTTCCTATCGAAACATAAGGGGAACCTGAGGCAAGCTGTGAAACACTTAAGGAACGCGGAGCCCCTCGCCAACGAAAAGGATTCCTTCTTCAGGGCCCGACTGTATGGTCACCAACATGCTCCGGCGGCAGCAGCCGAGAGCCGACCGAGCCGGCCGACCGAGCCGACAGAGAGAAAACGAGGCCGGCCGACGCCGAGAGGTCGCAGGCAGCCTGGACGGTCGCAGCGGCGCAGCGACGGCACAGCAGCCGACCAAGCCAAACCTAGGGGAACGAAAAATTGGCATACTAATAAAAACTCTGAGGTCCGCCCGGATTTCTTGGATCCGCGCTGGACCCCCCTCCCTGGCGCGCGGAGCGCGCCAGGAGCGGCGCCGGAGGCGCCGCCAGGGGGGTCCAGCGCGGATCCGAGAAATCCGCGCGGACCTCCGAGCTTTTATGTTCATGTCATTCTTCGTTCCCCTAAAACCGAAATGGCCACGAAGCAGCAGGAACCGACCGCGACGCAGCCGACTCGACCGAGACCGCGGGAGTCCGCCTCCCGCTGCAGGAGGCCTTGGCTGCTCACCTTGGGCCCTCCTGGGCCTCCGGCGTCTACAGCGAGGCCTCCCGGGTCCGAGGGCCTCGCGAGGGCGAGGGCTCCGCGGGGCCCCTCCGTGGGAGGACGGGGCTCCCGACAACATGCATGATCCTGGCTCCCCTGCCCCTCCTCCGCGGGCGGTTTTTACACCCAGGAGTACCACTTCTGCCAGTCTGGCGCCTGCGCCATGGGGTGGCCCACGCACTGCCAATCGCAAAAATAATGTCTTGGAATGAGAAAGGCGTTCGGACTTTCTTGGATGTCGCTTGGTGCTTGGTTCGTTGTGTGGGACAATTGTCTACGACGCCACCGCCAAGTGAAAGACTGCGAAACATAGGTGCCGGCTGGCGAGCGAGCAGTATGCCAGCTCCTTGTCAAATCTCGATGGCACCCCGAGGGCACTCAGTGGTTCAGCAACTCCGCCGACACCAGCACAGTAAGGATCACCAACTTTCTAAGATTTCACGTCCAGGACAGGTTCAGGCGGCACCGCCGCCAAATTGTATCCTTCGACAAGCAAGATCTCGACTTGACGACACGCTGCTCCGGGAATTGCGCTCGGGAAGCAGTCCGCCCGAGGAGACCCAGGGCCAGGTGGGCCCCGAGCCCACGCCCGGACGGGAGTCGCCAGGACCCGCCGGGCCGGCAAGCCCTACCATCTGCTTCCTCCTCCTCCTCCCCTGAGAGCCGACGTTGGAAAAAAAGTGCAACATCGCACAACATCACGCCCGGACCCCCCGACGCCCATCGTTCTGCACCATTCTTCGAGCCGGATCGATCTATGAGGGCCCCACCCAGGGCCGAAATCGAGCGAAGACGCCCGGCTCGGAAAAATGTGAGTCGGCGGGATCTCAGGCTCCTCCCCTGATTTGGACGCCCGAAACGGGTACGGGAAAAATGGGTACAATGCCCAACTACAAGTGCTGTCCCGAACCAACAGCGGCCGCTGTTGGGCAGGCGGCCTTCTGTCTCGATTGGACACGGGCCTCGGCGGCGTGGACAGCGAGTCCTGTTCGCAATGAACAGGAACTGCTGTTGGGCATTGTGCCCATTCTTTCCGTACCCATCTCGTTCGTGCCGATCCTCCTACAGGGGGGGTTTGGACGAAACGTATCAAAACATCTACAACAGAACTGCAACAATCGTCCCCATACTATTCTTTTGCTATTTTTGGTTAGTCCCCCTGTAGAGGGACAAGCCCGACTTAGCCCTGGACCCCGGGGGCGTTACCCCCAAACCGGCCTGCCATCTGCGACGGCACAAGGGCCCGGGGAGGGCCCCCAAAGCCCGAAGACGCAGAGAAACCCGAGAACCCGCTTGCTTCACGCGGCGGCAAATTGGTCCTGGCCCGTTAGGAGTGGCCCGGCCCACCGCTCCTGCTTCTGCGCGTCGATCCTGTCGACGATGGCGTCGCAGAAGCGGCCCCCGGTGGCGGACCACCACTTGCACGGCGCTCCCAACCTCGGGGGGGGGGGTGCGCCAACTGGGCGACGACCAAAAACGGGTCCTGCGCGAAACACGCCGCACTGGAAACGCAGGCGCCCACGCGCGACCCTAAGCGAGCAGCTTACGCGCCGATGTCGGCCCAGTCGAACTCGTTGTTCTGCCCCGCTCGTGCCGATGTCCTGCCTGGGCCGAGCCCGGGCGCGGGGCCGGCGGGCCACACCCTCTGGGGCCCGGCTGGGAAGGCGCATCCCGCAGGGGTTGCGCTCAGATTTTTCCGCCTGGTGTGATGGAGCACCCCGCCGCTACGGATGGTAACAGGGGGGGCGGAAAAGGATCGCGGGTGGGTCGCGTGGGTCACCAGGTGGGTCGCGGGGTGAGTCGCGGGGTGGGTCACGGCTGGGTCGCGGAGGGGTACGGCGACGACGACAATAACCACAACCACAGCCACAATCACAACAACAACAGCAACAGCAACAGCAACAACAACAACAACAACAAAACACCGGCTTTCTGGGCCCCATGCCCAGGGCCTCGCTTCCCCGTCGTCCCCACAGGAAGAGCACGGGCATTCAGAGGCCCCCTCGGGGCTTGGGGGGGAAGCACCGCACTGCAACGCACCTCCGCAACTGTACTGGAATTCGATTAGAGGTGCACCCACCTTGATTAGAATCCTGCTAGAGGTGCATCTACCTCTAATGGAACCCTATTAGAGGTGTGTCCACCTCTACTAGAATCCTGTTAGAGGTGTGTCTTCCTCCAATAGAATATTACTAGACGCAATCCACCACTCATTGAATCCTATGAGAGGTGTATCCACCTCGACTAGAATCCTATTAGAGGTGTGTCAACCTCTATTAGAACCCTCTTAGAGGTGTAGCCACCTCTAATATAATCTTATTAAAGGTGTAGCCACCTCACTACTCCTACTAGAGGCGTATCCACCTCTCATGGGATCCTATAAGATGTTGATCCACCTCTGATAGAATCGTTTTAGAGGCGCATCCACCCTTAATAGAACCATATTAGAAGTTCTAATAAAATACGATTAGACGTAGATTCACTCCGAATCGAATCAAATTAGAGGTGCAACCACTCCTGCTAGAACCTTAAGAGATGCGTATCCGACCCACATAGAATCCGATTGGAGGTGTACCATCATGAATACCATCACCATCATCATCAACATCGTCATAATGATCATCATCGTCATCACCATCATGATAGTGATCATCATCGTCATCACCATCATCATACTGATCATCATCGCCATCACCATCATCATCATCATCATAATAATCGTCATCGTCATCGCCATCATCATAATGATCAACATCGTCATCACCGACGTCATAATGATCATCATCGTCATCGCCGTCATCATACTGATTATCATCGTCATCGACATCACCAGAATCAGCATCATCATCGTCATCACCACACCATCATCGCCAATACCATCACCATCGTCATGGTCGTCATCCTAGTAAGCATCACAGTCGTCGTCCGCATCATCATTATCGGCGTCGCCCGTACAACCATCATCATCATCATCATCAGCATCATCATCATCATCATCGTAGCCAGCATCATGATGATCGCAGTTCCCAGTACCACCATCATCATCATGATCAGCATCATCATCATCATCAACATCATCATCATCAGCATCATCGTACTCAACATCATCATTACCGTTGTCACCAGTACCACCACCATCATCATCATCATCATCATCGTCCTAGTCATCATGTTCATCACCGTCAGCACTAACATCATCGCCAACATCATCTTCATCATCGACGTCAGCCTAATCCGCATCGTCATCACCACCATCATCATCATCATCATCATCATCATCATCATCATCATCAATTCCGTTACCATCATCATCGTTATCATGATCGACTCCCCCTCCCTCCCCGAAGAGGGGACAGAACACGGATGACGGGAGAGAACGGGGGGAAAGAAGGGTGAGGAGGACGAGAAGGAGGCAGAGGGGGGAGAAGAGGGGGAGCAGATCGACGAGGAGGCAGAGGGGAGGGAGGAGGATGGAGGACAAGGATGGTGATCGCACTCAGCACTGCGAACCTAAGACTATTCATCATACGTATGTGCATCATCGTCATCCCCATCGTCCACATCATCCTCCCCATTCTTATCAGGATTCCCTAAGATCCCTCTCACCGCCTTCTCTTGCTCCCAACCGCTATCTTCATCTCTCCTCCCACCGCCTTCTCATCCTCCTCCTCCGCCTCGTCCTCGTCCCACTCCTCCTACAAGGAGGAACAACAAGGAGGTAGGAGGTAGGAGTACCGGAGTAGCAGAAGCCCCTCAAAAGCCTCTCAGAGACATTTCAGAAAGCCCTCAGATGCCTCTGCGAAGCCTCTGGGAAGCCTCTCAGAGGCCTCTTGAAGGCCTCTCGGAAGCAAGCCTTTCAGAGGCATCTCAGAAGCCTCTGGCGTATTCCCAAAACATCCTCAGGATTCCGTAGGCCAACCTAGGGGCTCCCCTTGCGATGCATTAAGATGCCTTGGGATTCCGTAGGGTTCCCGAGGGATTCCTCAGAACACCGTGGGAATTCCTTAGCATTTCCCGTGGATTCCTAAGGGGTTCCTAGGGACTCCTTCGGATTCCTCAGGGTTCCATGGGGATTGCGCATGGTTTCCTAAGGATGACTCCGGATTCCCTAAGGATTCCTCAAGTTCCCCGGGGAATTCCGAAGGATTCCGATGGACTCCCTACGGCGTCTCTAGGGACGCATTGGGATTCCTTAGGATCCCGTCGGATCCCCGAGGGACTCCTCAAGGCTTCGTGAGGATTCCCTAGCCCCTTAGGATTCCTAAGAATTCCCTGGAGATTTCGTGGGACGCCCTAGGTATTCCCTAGGGATTCCTAAGGATCCCCTCGGGATTCCTTAGGATACCTAAGGATTCCCCGCGGTGCGGTGCGCTGCGGTGCGCGCGGTGCGGTGCGCCCGACACGGTGCGCGCGGTGCGGTGCACCCCGCACCCCCCTGCCCCAGGGGGGCCTCTGAAACACGCTGTCGTCAACAACAACAACAGCAGCAGGAACAACAACAGCAACAGCATCAGCAACAGCAACAGCAACACCACCATCAACAACAACAACAGCAACAACAACAACAACAACAACAACAACAACGACATCGAGAACAACAACAACAACAACAACAACAACAACACCAACACCAACAACAACAACACCAACAACACCAACAACAACAACAACAACACCAACAACAACATCAACATCAACAACAACAACAACACCAACAACAACAGCAACAACAACAACAACAACAACAATTACCACACCAACCACAACAACAATCATACCACCAGCAGCAGCAGCAACAACAACAACATCAACAATCATTATAACACTGCTCGCTCTTACTTGCCCGCGTGTCATTCAAAACGAGTTCTCCACAGAGGGAGGAGGGTGGAGAAGGGAGGGAGAAGGGGGGAGGGAGAGGAGGAAGAGGGGATATGGTAGAGAGGCATAAGGATGAGGGAAGAGAGGAGGGAGAGAAAAGGGAGGAGAGAGGAGGGAGGAGGGAGGAGGAGCAGGAAGGTAAGAGCGTGAACGTTCGAGGACATCCTATGCGAAAACGCTGTTCCTGAAGGAGGTCTCGGGCGGGAGCCCACGACGGGCGGGCGATCCCCTGACGGGCGGGCAAGGCGCTTGGGACATTCAAGCGGGGTGCCTGAGTATGGCGAGAGCGCCATTACTAAGTAAATTGTAACGGCGTCCTTGGCGCAGCGTGTTTCCTGAGCGTCGATCGCGCGATTTCTGAATAGACCGCATGGAAGTCACAGGCGGGAGCGCAATTCCTGAATAAAATGTGAAGGGTTCTCTGGCGGGAGCGGGGGTCTTGATTAAATTGCTAGGAAATCTTGATTCAATTGCGAGGAAGTCTCAAGCGGGAGCGCAGTTCCTGAGTACATTGTGAGGAAATCTCAGGAGCGGGGGTCCTGAGTAAATTTGGAGGAAGTCTCAGGCGGGAACCGTTGCTGTTGTAACCTGGGGGCCAGGGGCACAGTTTGAGCACCAAGACTTTCCCTGACAAACAACAGGGTGCGAGCGTCGAGGGGCACACTTTGATTGAGAAAAAACCATATGCACCAGCGAGGGGGGATCAACAATAATTACTCTTCAGAAGTGAAAATTCAATCACAACAACAAAACCACAACCTTCCACAACAGCAACAACAACGACAGCGGCAACGACGACAACGACAACAACCATATCAACGACATCAACACCAACACCACCACCAACACAAACACCAACACCACCACTAACAACAATAACACGAAACCGACGACGACAACAACAACAGCAACAACAGCAGCAACAACACCGACAACGCCAACACCACCAATAACAACAAACATCACTCATGCTCAGAATGGTCGCGTTTACCCGCACGCGCCTCAAATATGTCTATCCCGAAACCCTGGTACCCGCCATTTCCGTTTTCGATCGGATGCCTTGGGGGTATATCTTCCTTACTTGCAACGTGGAATTGGTGCACCCCATGGGAAAAAAGGCGATGTGAGGTCGGATGGAGGGGGGGGGACACGATGGAGCACGGGATTCGCAGGATGGGGGGCCAGGACCAGGAAACACGTGGCAAAACCAAACTGGCCCATCGGGCGGGTAGACCCAAACGGGCGTGTCGGGAAGGCGACCCCGACCAGCCAAGTCGAGACCACGTGCCGATGAAGCGTGAGTATTGCATGAACCACGAAGAAACTCGAACGATAGCGCGATTCCCAAGCCAATCGTGAGAAAGGCCAAATCGAGAGAATGCTTCCTGAGTGTCGAGGACGCGGTGTCTAAATACATTGTAAGGAAGTCCCACGCGAAAGCACGACTTTGAAATAATTGGTGCAGAAGAATCAGGCGGGAACCGTTGTAGTTATACCTCGGGGGGGGAATCGCAGATTGGTGGTACCACGCTTTCCTTACACTTACACACACATATATATAAACACATTCACATTCACATTCACATTCACATTCACATACACATACACACATATACATATACACATACATACACATACACATACATACATACATGCATACATACATACGTGTACGCGGATATACCCTGTGACGTACAGAACTTGTTTACATCAAGTGACAAGGGGAATTGGCCCAATTTTGCAGGACAATGACAGTGAAGGCGCCGTTGGACGTGGGAAGCAAAGTGGGATGCGCGCGCGTGGCATGATTCGCAGGACAACGATAGACGGGCGAGGAACGAGGGCTCAAGCTCGCAAAGGACATGGATGTGGGAGCGAAAACCAGGAGAAGGACGCGACGGGGGCCGAACAGTCAGCGTGGCAGCAGCAGGGAGAAGGTGACAGAGGGAGGCGGGCGACGATGAAAACGACGGGAGGCGACCGGAAAGTGCTGCTCTTGTCGGTAGCGCGCTACAGATGCAGCCGCTGCCTGCGCCATGTCGCCGCGGCGCTCGAACAAAAATCTAACTTGCGAATCGACCGTGCAGGAAACGAGCGCGCCCCAGCTCGCCCGCCAGCTTCTCGGCCTCCTTCCTGCGCTTCCGTGCGGGAGTTGGGCGCCCGAGTTTTCCGGGGTAACTCGGGTCCGGGGTAACTCGGGTTTGGCTTCCCGAAAAAGGAACCCGAGTTACCCCTGACCCGAGTTACCCCTGATGATTCGGGGCTCTGGACGCCCGAATTATCCGGGGTAACTCGGGTCCGGGGTAAGTCGGGTTCGGATTCCCGAAAAACGAACCCGAGTTAGCCCTGACCCGAGTTACCCCTGATGATTCGGGGCTCTGAGGGAGCTCAGCGCTCGAAGCAGCGCCGACGAGGGAACCAGGAAGGCCCGTCTGGCCACGGCAGGCCCCGGCCTGGCAGAGGCCGCGGGTGGGCTCGGCGCCCTCCCGAGCCCTGAGCGGTCCTTCTCTCGGCGTCTTTGAAGGGGAACTGGAACACACAAATAAATACACACAAATAAAAATATCCCCCATATTTTCCCATATTTTCTGGGTTTTTGTCTTCCCCACCACTTCCCAGATTTTTGCATATTTTCCTGGGAGTCGACAATTAACTGTGTCTGTGTGTTTCTTTCCCTCCGGAGTCTTGGCTGCAGGCGGCCTGCTGGCCCGCGGATGGCCGCGGGGCCCACGTGCGGGGCGAAAGGCGCCCGTGGCGGCTCGCTCCTCGGCGCCCGGGTCTGGCAGCCCACCCCTCGAAGAAGAAAGACCGGAAAGGGGGGGGGATGGGCCTGTTTTCCACCACCACCACCGCCATAAGCTGGAGGGGGAAGGCGGTGGAGGACGAGGACGAGGAGGAGGAGGAGGAGGAGGAGGAGGAGGACCCCCTCCCCCTCCAACTTATGGTGGTGGTGGTGGTGGTGGAAAGCAGGCCCCTCAGACCTGAAATCGGCAGGGCATCGCCGACAGATCTGCGCTGGGCCTCCTCCCAGCGAACCGGCACGTCCTCGGGGCAGGTTGGGGCACCCGGGCCCCGGTCCGCGAGGAAGGGGCGACTGGGTCTGGGCTCCCCCCCTGGGTCACCTCGACTCGACCCTCGGCTTAGGTCAGGCGTGTCCTCCTACAGGCGAATCTTGGGCGAACAGTTCAACATACTCCAAACGTGCTCAAGCCAAATTTTTGACGAACATAAAAAACGCAATGAACACAAACTTTTGGCTCTCTGGGCGGATTTCTTGGATCTGCGCTGGACCCCCCTCCCTGGCGCGCGGAGCGCGCCAGGGGCGACGCCGGAGGCGCCGCCGGGGGGGGCCCAGCGCGGATCCAAGAAGTCCGCGCCCAGCGCCAAAAGTTTGTGTTTATGCAGTTTTTTCTTCTTCGACCCCGGTCATCTCGACTCAGCCCTCGGTCTACCCTTAGCATGTCCTCCAACAGGGGAATCGTTGACGAGACATTGCAGATAGCCAGCAATGATCAAGAGAATCTTCAAAAATGGTCCAAAATCGTCCCTGGACTATTTTCGTTGACTAATTTTCGAACGGTCCTCCTGTAGAGGGGAGAGGGGCATGCCCGACTTCTTCTCCCTCGGCCTACCCTCCGCCCGGTCACCTCGACTCGACCCTCGGCCTTCCCTTCTGATGGGAGAAGGGGGGGCATGGGGAAGTCCTCCTTCTCTCCTCTCGGGGGTAGAACCCCCTTTAGCAAACCGTGGTTCAGTGAAAACGACCTCTTGCGGGGAGGTCCTCCTCCTCTCCTCTCGGGGATAGAACCCCCTTTAGTAAAACGTGGTTTAGTGAGAACGACCTCTTGCCAAACCTGGCGTGCCCGCGTCTGGGAAATGACGGCCGCGGCGCCCGCTCGAGAACTGACAACGGACCATTCACCGATCGACGTGTCAGGGTGGGGGTTCTGTCCACCCCTGATCCTCCTCCCCTTCCTTCTCCTTCTCCCTCTCCTGCCTATGGCAGTGGTGGTGGAACACCGGCCCATCACCGCAGTATCGTTTAACCGGTCCCCATCCCCAGCGGCGTGGCCTGGGCCCCACTGGCCGATTCCCTCCCCTGGATAGGGACATAGGTCGTCCCCTTCGGGTTCCGAGGCGTGTATCTCCCCAACTGGGAGGGCATGATTTTTGGGACACCCGACATGGGTACGGAAAAATGGGTACAATGCCCAACAACAAATGGTGTCCCAAACCAACAGCGGCCGCTGTTGGGCAGGCGGCCTTCTGTCTCAAAGGGACACAGGCCGCGGCGGCGCGGACAGCGAGTCCTGTGCAAAATGAACATGAACTGCTAAAGGGCATTGTACCCGTTCCTTCCGCACCCGTGTCGGTCTTCCTGAGATTTGGTGGGGGCCTCGAAGGGGATGGGGCTGGGGATGGGGATTGGTTACAAGGGCTCCCAACGTCGCGCTTCGCGCTGCGCAAAGCGCGAAGTGCGAACAACTTCGCGCTCTCGCGCCGCCTCCCAGGGGAGGAGAGGAGAATGAGGAGGAATCGGAGCCGAACCGCGAAGCGCGAATGACTTCGCGCCCTCGAGGGCGCCCTCGTGGTTGGGGCGATACCCATCACCTCCGCCCCGGTCTGGAGGCTCCCGGGCAGCCGCACCCACGCGGGCAGCGCGCGCGTCTCCCGGGCGGCGGCCCCCGTCGCTGGGGGCGCCTGGCGCGGGGCAACGGGGCAGCGACGGGGACGCCGCCCGGCGTGCGGGGGGGGCAGCAGGCGACCACGGCCAAATCGAGGGCACGCCCTCGGGGGACGTCTCGTGCCGTGTGGCTCCCATCGCACTGCGGGACCACATCCCCCAACAATAATTGGGTAGGAGGTCTGTCCACCCCTGATAGAAGTAGGCTGGAGAAAGGAGGAGGAGGAGGAGGAGGAGGAGGAGGGGGAGGAGTCTCGTGAGCGTTTTCTTGTTCGGCGTCTCGACACGAGGCGGGAGGGCAGGGGGTCTAGCTCCGGACCCCGGCCTGTGATGCGACTCTTCGTAACAGCGCGTCCGCTGGGGGGGAGGCTCCACCTGCTCGAGACAGGCGCCCAGAACAGCCATGGTCTACTCCATGGAGGGGGGGGAGGGGGGGTGTGAAGGCAAGCGCTGATGGGCAAAATAATACATAACACAAACGCTCCCCTTGCGCACGCCGGTCACCGTCTGCGCACCGAAACCAGCTCAGCACTGGTTGTGGCCGACGTGGGCGTCCAGGACGACCAGATGGACCACAGCCACAACCAAAGTGCTCGTGTCGAGGTCGGGGGGGCTCTGCCCCGAGGGGCCCTCCAGACAACACGAAACACTCGGTTCTGTTTGCGGCCCTCTGTTTGGAGGACGGGCAAACGACGCAAACGTAAACGTTCGAGGGTCCGCGCTGCCGTCGTGTCTCCGCACCAGAGCGCCTCGCTCCACAGCGCGCGGAGCGCGCCAGGAGAGATGGCCGGAGGCGCCGTCGTGCGGGCCCGAGAGACGATCCAGGAACTCCGCGCGGAGCCCCAAAGTTTACGGTTGTGCCGCTCCCCCCACAAGCGGATTGAGGGGAAATGAGACACAGCCTCCACAAAAGCTCAAAAAGAGTCCCCCAAAATCGTCCCCAGACTACAGTTTTACTATTTTTGAATATTCCCCCTGTCGAGGGTCGTGCCCGACTTACGCGTAGAACCAGAGGGCAACTTGCCGCCTGGGCCCGACCGCCAGAACCAAGGCACAACCCCGCAACCAAAAGAACTGTCTCAGGGGCACGGGCCCGCCCATGTGGCGCGATCCATGGGCTGCGCCGCGATCCACGGGTGGCTGCGTCAGTCACGGATTCCACCATCAACGGATGGCGCCAGGGGTTGCACCATTAACGGCTTGCGCCGAGAGCAGCGCACGACCACTGAACCTCACCACGGCGCGACTAGCACACTAGCGTGTGTGAAGCAGGCGATCGGCCAGGACGCTAATTACACAAGCCAACCTGTCACATGCAGTCTCGTGCGATGAACTGTGGCCTGGGAGAACCGTGGATGACGAGATGAGTTGGACAAAGCCGATGGGGGAGGGGAAGAGAATGAGGAGGATGGGGAAAAAACTGAGGAAACACGCACACACACACACACACACACACGCGAGGGTTGCGCCATGCATGGTTTACGACATAGGTTGCGCAAGATCGCAAGATACAGCAACACACATCTCCACCCTTTGGGCCTGGCGGCCGCGTTACGCAAGATCGCCCCTCCTCGAGGACCCCGAGGCGCGACAGCCCCGGGGAGCACCGGCACACTTCGGGGGGCCCCCGGCGGCCGAGGCATGCAGGGTGTGCAGTGCATGCTGGGAACTCTGCCCTTTAATGACGAACGAACAACACACACCCATACCCATAGGGAGGTCGTTGGGAGGAGGACTGGCTATGAGTGTGGTGCGGGTTGTCGGACCCTGGAGAAGGCTCCCGTTCGAGCGGGGACCCCCATCCGACAACACACACCCATAGCCCTCTCCGATCACCCTATGGGTATGGGTGTGTGTTGTTGGTTCGTCCTTTCAGCCTGACCACCCCAACCTGTCGGGTGGGAAGCACAAACGCTACCAGAGCTCCGTCGGCACAGGCAATTCCTCGGCGGACCGCCCGAATTACCAGCCCGGAACATATCCCTATCCCTATGCTGGGCATCTCCTCATCACGATGCCAATCTTAGGGGTTCCCTTATTTTTTGAGGGCGAGTCCCTAAGATTGTCATCGCCTTTCGGCGTGTCAATCTTAGGGATAGGGATAAGTTCGAGGCTGGTAACCGAAGCGTATGTCTTCGGCAGCGCCAGCCACTGCTGCCACCATCCGGCAGCGACCGCTGTGGAGCAGGCGCCTCTCGCCACAAGGGTGATGACGTGGCGTCCGCGGCACTCTCGGTCGCTGCCCTCGCTCCGGGATTCCTTCGGCAGATCCGCACGGTCCGCCCAGGTCCAATAGACCGATCCTCTCGAGATACAGTCAAAAACCCTGAGAAGGACGCGCGGTAAGGACGCAGGACCCTTGGAAGCCGAAGTTGGGATTTTTGGGGCGGCGGACGACGAACACCTCAAGGACGCAAGAGCAAGGAAGAGCAAGGACGCAAGGGTACCCTGAGCAGAGTCGCGCGTCCTTATTAGAGTTGTTGACTGTAGGTGGTGGTGCTACCATACGGAAAGAACCGCAAGGAACGAAGCGGAAGAACACGTCGCTCGGGAGCTCTCGAACGAGGTGAACCCCCACCCTCCCTTCGAGATCGTGGGGGGTGGGGGTAGGGTCCACATGTGGCCACCGACTCCCCCCCCCATGGCATGAGAGTCCAAAATCGGATCGATAAGTCGGATCGGCGATCGAACTGAATCGGATCGGCGGAGATCGCCAGCCGAGTCGGGAAAAGTGGAATCGGCGGAAACCAGCAGGCCAGCATGCGTCCAATAAGAAGTCGGAACCCAAATCGGAATCCGAAATCGAAACAATTCGGCATCGGAATCCGTCGAAGTCGAGTCGAACCGAATCAGAGGAATCGAAACGGACCCTGCACATGTGGCAACCGAGCCGCCCGAGCGAAGTGAACCCCCACCCTCCCTGAGAGTAGGTCGGGCGTGTCCTCCTACAAACGGATTTGGGATGAATGATGACAAATTCGTGAACATGCTCCAGGATAGCCAAAACGGGTCACAAACATCGTCCCCATCTTATGGTTTGACTATTTTTGAGCATTCCCCCTGTAGAGGGACATGCTCGACTGAACCCTTAGAGATCGTGGAGGGTAGGGCTCACAGGTGTCACCCGAGCCGACCCCCCACCATGGGCTCCAGGGGCGCGTTCTGGCCAGCATCTCTCGGAGTGCGGACCCCGCAAAGTGGCGACGGGGCCCTCACAAAAATTCAAAAATAGTCAAAACAACTAGTCGAAGCATCGTCCCCAAACTGTGTTTTGACTATGCTTGAAAATTCCTCCTGTAGAAGGGACACGCCCGACTTAACATTGGCGGACAGCGCCGCGCGTGAACAAAACAAGTCCTTCCGCCATCGCAATTCGATCGTGACGTCGGCCCCCCGTGCCGGGAATCTTCTGACCCGGGTCAATCCAGACCCGGGTCAGTCGGGCCTTGCAGAACCCTGCAAGATCCTGCACCCAACACCAGTTCGATGCGAAGGGTCCCGCAAGGTCCTGCGCCCAAGCCCGAGTCAAGGCGACTCTGGCCCTGCAGGATCCTGCAAGATCGGGCGCTCTGGCCGACCCCCGTTTGCCGGAAGCGGTCACAAGGGGGGTGCCCAAGAGGGGGGGGGGTGCAAATCATGACCGGCGGCATGTGCGCGGCCCAACGGGGGGGCCAGGGACGTATAATGAAACAAGAAGAGGCGCCATGAAACCTGAGGAAATTTCATGGCCCAGCCATGAGATCCCCCCCCCCTGTCATCATCACCCCCCTTTTTGCCGCCCCCGAGCTTGCCTGGACCCCCCGTCTCGAGGTCCCCGACCCGGGGGCCCTGGACCCCCCCCCCGGGGGCAGCGTCTCGCCCCGAGCCGTTCTCTGTGGCGGCCGCGTGGGGCTGGGAGAATGGCGAATGGCCCGGGCCGAGAGTGACGGGGAGGCACGCCCTCTCTCTCTCTCTCTCTCTGCGTTTTGCTCGCGGCGCCCGCATCTGAGTCGACGGTTGCTAGAGGTGCCCCTGGCCCAAGGTGCCCCCAGCTTTTCGCTCCATTTTGAAGCCCCCGGGGTCCTCTGGGCCTCGTGAGGGGCGCTCTGGAGGTCGTGAGGGGCTCCTCGGAAATCCTGGGGGCACCTTGGGCCAGGGGCACCTCTAGCAACACCCGACTGCGGGGACGCCCGGGGGGCACAAGACAACACCGATGGCGCTGCTCGCCTGTTCTCTCCCGGGGTGCGCTCTGCTCCAGGTCTCGGAGCGAGTCCAGCCGTGGCGGCGAAGGCCTTCGAGGCTTCAAAACATGCTCCAAACAGCGCAAAACATGTCGGACCCTCTCTTCACCACTCCCTCCCTAGTATTCCTCCGTTGGCCCCCTCTCGCCCCTCGCCCTCCACCCCCCTCCTGCTTGCCCCTTTCCTCGCACCCTCGCAGGAGAATGACAATATTCGTTCCTGTCCTCATGACATTCCCACCTTCTTGCGTCCCCCCGAATTCTTGAGGAGGAGGAGGAGGGGAAAGGGGGGGGCGGCACGAGGGGGAGGAGGCAAAGAGGGGAGGGGAAACATGCGTTGCTTCTAGACAGTGGCACTGCGGGATCCCTGAAAGTCCCGACCCTTTCCCCAGGGTCAGCCTTTCATCCTGAGTCTGTCTGTTTGACGGTCCAAGGGCCTGGCGAGGGCCCCAAAATTCCGAAAACGGCGAACACCCTGGCTTGATCTTTGAGTCTGCCACCGTCTCTTCACGTAGCGGGCGTGTTCACATGCCCGTCTTTTGTCAATCAGGGCTTGATACCGTTCTTGCCTGTTGTGTTTTCTAAAGCCGATCCCCCGCGCCCCTCTCGCCCCACGCATGGTTAAAGCACAGTCCACCTCGATTTTGCTCTATGGCGGGCGTTTCGGCCTCCAGACGGCCAGGATGGCCTGCAAGATAGCCAAGATGGCACCACGACGGCCCAAGATGGCCCGAGACCACCGGACCACCCAAGAGGCTCCCAAGACGGCCTCGAGGCAGCCCAAGCGGCCTCCAAGACGGCCTAAGAGGGCTCCACGAGGCTCTGCGGAAAAAGCCCGAGGAGGTAACAAACACTGTAGGTGTTTGAAGGATGTTCAGGTTCTCGCCTGCTTGGGTTTGCGACGGCCCAAGACGGCCCCAACGGCCCCCGATGTAGCTCCAAAACATATCATGAGCCCCCAAAAAGAAGAACTCCAAATCGGCTCAAGAGGATCGGAGGTGAGGGCACCAGGATGCCCAGGAAACGCTCCTGGAGAACACCAAAACGGTCCAGAGGGGTAGCGAAGACTGCCTCCGAAGGTGTCAGACGGACGAGAAACCCTCAAAGACGGCCCAGGAGACCTCAAGAGGAGCCCATGAGGCCCCCAGGGGCTTCCAAGAGGCCCCCCAAGAGAGCCCCCAAGATGCCTTCACCTCCCTGCCTTCAGTTTCTCCCTCTTCTCCCCTCCTCCTCCTCATACTCCTTCCCCCTGTCGCGGGGATGAGGATGAGGTCAAGTTCGCTACCCGCCTCAATTCAGACCGCTCGTCGAACTAGAGCGGGGCGTGAACTCGATCTACTCCCTGCGCGGACGCGGGCGAGGTCGAACTCACGATCCGTCCCAATTGAAACTAATTGTCGGCTGCGCTGTTGCACAGCCATGGTGGCGGGGCTTGCCGCAGGCCTCTGGGTATGTCGGAAGTCCGCGCGTTTGTTTTTCAAAAGAAAAACATACAAAAAAGTCAGAGTTCCGACACATGACGTGCATCAGGGCGTCTTCTCTTCGATCTCCTGCAAGGAAAACATGTCGACGATACCCAAAAGCCCCTGGGGGATGGGCGAGGGGTCCTGTTCGTGGGTCTGATATGTAAAAAGCCCTCCCAGGGGCGTGGTTCTTGTATACTGACCGTGGCCCTGACTCGGGCGGGGAGAAAGCTGCATGCAAGAATGATTGAGGAGATCTTGCGTATTGCCCCTCCTCCGATCCGGACGCTCGAAATGGGTACGAGCAGAATCGCCAAGATGCCCAAATAACAAAAACGACTGCCCGACACCGACAGCGGCCGCTGCTGGGCAAGCAAAGGGGCGTGCCCCGAACGGACGGAGACCACGACGACGCCGACAACGAGTCCGGTTCAGACTGAACCAGGCCTGCTGCCTTGCTTCCTTGCTTCCGATCTGCCCTTAGATCCAACGTTGCAACACCAATTGCAAGATCGCAGAGGATCCATACCAGACCCCCGGAGCCGGATCGATCCACGAAGGCCCCGGGGCCCGAGATTGGGGGAAAGTGCCCGGCTCGACAGAAATTGAGCCGCCAGGATCTCAGGCTCCTCCTCCTCGCTGGTCCTCCCCCTCCTCCATTCGCCCCCAGCCCGTGCCGCTCCCTCATCCCGTTTGCCTTCCTCCTCGCCCCTCCCGGTCCCTCCCCGTCCTCCTTCTCGTCCCTTGTCCCTCTCCTCCCTCCTTCCACTCCTCTCCGCTCCCTGGCTCCCCCCCGCTCCCTGCGAGCCCCTTTCAGCTCCCTTGTGCCTCCTCCCTGCGTACTGCTCCCGGCTGCCTCCTCCCTGCTCCCTTCTCCGTCCTGAGTTTGGGTCTGGGCGCGGCACTCTCAAATGGAGTGCGTTGGTGCCGAAACCCTGGGCAAAGGGCAGGCACGAACTTCCTGATCCTCCTCCTCCTCATCCTTCTCCTCCTCGTCCTCGTCCTCCTCCTCGTCCTCCTCCCTCCTCCTCCTCCTCCTCCTCCTCCTCCTCTCCTCCTCCTCGTCCTCGTCCCTCCTCCTCCTCCTCCTCCTCCTCCTCTCCTCCTCCTCCTCCTCCTCCTCGTCCTCCTCGTCCTCGACATCCTCATCGTCCTCCTCCTCCTCCTATTCCTCCTCCTCCTCCTCCTCCTCCTCCTCCTCCTCTCCTCCTCCTCCTCTTCCTCATCCTCCTCCTCCTCCTCCACAATTACACAATATGAAGATACTCTCCCACTTCCCCTGATGGCGTCCCGAAGATGGCCGAACCCCCCCGCGTACTGTTCTTGTTTTTACACAGGATTCCCGGGAAACGGTTTTCGCCTGCGTTCTTTTCAAAATGCTGCTCTCGCTGAGGCGCCGGCCTCATTTCTGCTCCCGAATCGTTCCGAATCGTGCTCCCGCTGCAGCGTGGGCCTCATTTTCGGATCGGTGTTTGGCCTCCGTCGTTCAGGATGGCGTTCTCGCCCCAGCGCGGGCCTCTTTCTCGCGCGCCCATCCGCCCGCCACCACCGCGCCGCACCCACCACCACCACCACCACCACCACCACCACCCACCACCACCACCACCACCACCACCACCACCACCACCACCACCACACCACCACCACCACCACCACCACCACCACCACCACCACACAACCACGCACACACGCACGCACGCACGCACGCGCACCACCACCCACTACGCACGCGCGCGCGGAGCCACAGGTCCGCTACGACACGCGTCCGCGGATAGAGAAAATCAGCGCCATGGTAAGGGATGGGAGGGAGGGGTAGGACGTCAGATATGACGCGAGCGCACCTAGCTTGTCTTCCTCCTCCTCCTCCTCTTCCTCCTTCTCCTCTTCCTCCTTCTCCTCTTCCTCCTCCTCCTCCTCCTCCTCCTCCAACTCCTCCGCCGCCTCCTCTCCTCGTCCTCCTCATCCCCCTCCTCGTCCTCGTCGTCGTCGTCGCGGGCCTCTCGCCCCGCGGCGCCCGCGGCCGCGGCGCCCGCGGCGGCTGGCGCCCGCGAGGAGCCGTCTCCGCCTGCCGCGGCCGCGCCCGCAGGCGCCGCCTCCTGCGGCGGCGCTGGAGGGCCGCAGGCCTCTCGCCAATGGCGGGGGGGTCATGGGCGGGGGTCCATGTCATGGGCAGGGGGTCCCCCCTCCTCCCCTCCTCCTCCTCCTCCTCCTCCTGCTGCTCCTCCTTTTCTCCCTCCTCCTTCTCCTCTACCTCGTGGTCGTCGTCCTCCTCTTCCTCCTCCACTTCCTCCTGCTCTTCCTCCTACTCGTACTCCTACTCCTCCTCCTCCCCCCCTCCCCTCCCCCACCCCCTCCTCCTCCTCCTCGTCACCTTGTCATCCTCTTCCTTCCTCCTCCTCTTCCCTCCTCCTCTCCTCCTCCTCATCCAGCTCCTGCTCCTCCCCCTCCCCCTCCTCCTCTCCTCTTCCTCCTCCCTCCTCCTCCTCCTCCTCCTCCTCCTCCTCCTCCTCTTCCTTCTCGTCCTCGTCCTCCCTCTCCTCCTCCTTCTCCTCCTCGTCCTCCTCCTCGTCCTCCTCCTCCTCCTCCTCCTCGTTCTCCTCTTCCTGCCCCTCCAGGGTGAAAAATAGGCAACTCCTGGATGTCTCTGTTTGAATTATCTTGCACAGCTGTGCTCTAGAGCGCAGAGCCCTTTATTTTCGCCGTTGTTCGTTCGGTCGCTCACCGCCCCCAAGCTTACCTACCCCTCTACCCAAGATAATCATGATGGCCCCAAGAGAACACCAGGATGGCTCGAGAACCTCCGCCCTCCCCCCCCCGCCTCTCCTGGCCTGCGCCCTCCCCCGTGCAAGAGCCAGGGCATGGATCTCTGAGCTGGGGTGCGCGCCCGAAAGCAAGGCCGCGTTGAGTCATCCGCGGTGGTCCGAAGACAGAGAAATCGCGCACGTCCTCCGTCGCGGCTCACCAACTCCTTCCATTCCTCATCCTCGTGCTCCTGTAGGACGTTTAGGACGAAGCCAGGACAAGGACTAACATCGGGAATCTCTGAGAACTGGCGGTCCTGCAGGATATATCGGGCGCCGCGGCTTTCTCAGCGCGTACCGGAACGCTCTGAACGCGTCCCGGAACGCTCTGGCATGATTTCCCCCTGTCCTGGCCCCGCCCGATCCTGGGGGGTCATGAGCAAGAATGATAAGGGGCAACTCCTGCATGTCAATATTGTCGGGAACGGCCAAGAGGGGGGTGTCCCAGAGGGGGGGGTGCAAATCATGACCGGCGGCATGTGCGCCGCCTAGCGGGGGGGCCTGGGACGTAATGAAATAAGAAGAGGCGCCATGACATCTGAGGAAAAATCATGGCCCGCGCCATGAAATCCCCCCCCCCTAGTCATCACCCCCCTCTTTTCCGCTCCCGATGTTGTTGTGATCTTCTAGACTGGCGGGGGGCTGCCGGCGAGGCAGGGGGGCTCGGGGCCCTGGGCAACGGTGGCGCTTGGGCGGGTTGGCGCACGTCCGTCGGGGCAGGGGTGCGCGGCGGTCGCCAGAGCATGCGAGCGAGCACCAGCACGGGGTGGGCGGAGGGGTCCAGACCCCCCTCCCAAACTGAAGAGGCCCCAGGACACACAAATAAGGACACGCAAATAAAAGGATTCCCCATATTTTCCAATCTTTTTTGAATTTTTGTCTTCCCCCCACTTCCCATATTTTTCCATGTTCTCTGGTGAATCGCCGATTAGTTGTGTCTGTGTGATTCTTTCCCTCCCGACAAACGTACGTTCGCTACCATTACCCGAGGGGACACAGGAGGGACCTCGGCGGCGCGCAGGGGGGGGGCCAGCGCGATGAGGGGGGAGCCCAAAAGGCAGGGGGGCTTCTGAGTCGGCGGGGGGCCGTCAGAGAGGCGCCTGGCTGGAGGCTTCTGAGAAGCCTCCTTTGAAGCCTCCGAGCGATTCTAAGAAGGCCCCCCCGCCGTCCAAGAAGCCCCCCCCCCGGCCTTCTAAGAAGGCCCTCCCCTCGCGCTGCCCCCTTTTCGCGCGCCGCCGAGGATGGAGAGGTTTTCGTAAGTACGATGACCCACTGTTGATCCAGGTGGCGGGGCCACTACGCCGGAGCAGGCCGGATTCGGCCGACGGTGAAACCTGATTCAGCCAGAGTGTAAGCGGGATGTGACCAGATTGAACTAGAAAGATGCTACTGGATGAGGCTGGTTCTTGACTACGGAAAGAACAGTGCCGATGCCAAATTGAACCTCTCAGGAGTTGCACCCTGAGGGGGGATCGAGGCATCAAGCCCAGACGCGTTCGCATCGTGGAAAGAGACAGAAGGTCTTCGGACCGACAGGCGAGCGTTTTTTATATTCGGCGCTTCGACATTGGGCGGAAGGGGGGGGGGAGGGGGGGGATCTGGCTCTGGACCTCTACTCAGTGCGAGTGTTTGCAGCACTGGGTCCTATCAGGGGAGCCTCCACCTGCTGAAACGGGCGCCCCAAACAGCCAAGATCTACTCCATGGGGGAGGGGGGGAGGGGGGGGTGCGAGGACCCGCGCCGATCGGCAAAACAAGGAGTAACAAAAACGATCACCAGCCCGACGTCGTGCTTTTGCCTGCAGCGTGGCTTCCCAACGGCTCGTCAAAGAGCTGCCACGGCAGGTCTCCCGCCGTTCTCGGCCCCCAGGCCCCCCCCCCGCTGTGCCCTGGGCCGGTCAAGGCGCGACTCGGGATGGCAGGCCAGTCTCTTCTGGGGACTGCGTGCTTGAAGGGGCCCTCGGACACACAAATAAATACACACAAATAACAATATTCCCCATATTTCCTTATAAGTTCTGGGTGTTCGTCTTCCCCCCACTTCCGATATTTTTTTTTCATATTTTCCTGGGAACCGCCGATTCATTGTGTCTGTGTGTTTTTGCTCCCTCCTGAGTGCGAAGAACATCGAGACACGGGATGTCCGGGTCAACATCGAGGGAGGATCGGAAAGGGCGATGAGGTCGGTCCTGCCGTGCGACTGCTCGAACCTCGAGGCCCTGGACGCTGCGACGGCAGCTCTGCGGCCGCTCTGGGCCGCCGGGGGGGGGCCCTCCTCCCCGCTGGGGCCCCGGGCGCGGTCGAGAGGGCACGGCCCGGGATGGGAGGCCGGGCTTCTGGCGGCCCCGCGGTAAGGACCTCAAGGCACGGGATGTCTGGGCCAGCATGAGGTCAGGGCGTGTCCCCCTGCAGGCGGCCTGAGCATTTTCTGAGGGTGGAGGGCTCAGTGTGAAATCCACATGGGCTTTGGCAATTCGAGAATCAATCCGTCTTGTGATTCACCTTTTGCAGATTCCAGCCTCGAAAACCAATCCTAAACGGCACTTCAGATGTCACCCGTTGCCCCCCACCCAAAGAGGATGCTCAGAATACTGCGTAACCTCTCCGGACCTGCGCAACCGACAGGGTCAGGTTCTCCTGGGGGGGGGGGGGGGGCGGGCGGTGGGCCCGAGAACTGGGGTGATCGCCAGAGCCGTACTGGAAGGCGCGCAAGCAGGCTGGGACCTGGGCATCCAGCGTCAGGTCGGCCGTGTTCTCCTAGAGGGGGATCTCGGAAGAAACCTGAAAAGTGCCCGCAAATAGTCGAAACAAAATCAAGGGCATCGTCCCCAGACTATTTTTTGTCTATTCTTGGGAAGTCCTCCTGTAGAGGGACACGCCCGACTTGAACCCAGTGGGGCGCGAGGCGTCGACTGCTCCATCCTGGATCCTCGACCCTCCCTCTGTCCAGAGCACCTCGACGTGTCGAGGGGATCGAGGGCGGGTCGAGGGGTCGACGTTTCGCGGAGTCGAGCAGGGGTCTGGAAAGGGGGGGTCTCCTACAGGCGGGTTTTGAAGGACAAACACATATATTCAAAACAGATTCCAAAATAGTGACGAAGAATCGAAACATCGTCCCCAGACTATTGTTGCACTATGTTTGGACATTCCCGTTGTAGAGGAACATGCCCGACTTGCCCTTAGGAAAAAAGCCGAAACGTCAACACCGTGCATCCTCTGTCCCTCTTCCCAGCCAACCGGTGACTCGTTTTTTTCGGCGAAGATCTCTCGAGCTCTTCCTGTGGATTGGATTTCGACGGCCCTGGGGCTGGCAAGGGCCCCCATGCAAAGATCGGCAAACATCCCCGAAAGCGTCCCGTCATGATCTTTCCGCGTCGCCTGGATCTGAGGGAACCTGCCGTATCGGCTTATCGGTCCTCCTCCGCTGAGCGTTTGAAGTCCTGGAGCAAGAGACCAACCAGCACCGAATCACGAAATCGGATAGGATTTGGGGGATCCCAAAACCGTGTGGTGACGGACCGTGCGGTGACCTCGGAACACCAAGAGACCTCACCGCACGGTCCGTCACCGCATGGTCTTGGGACCCTGGAGGCCCCTGTCACCCGAGACATCCTCGGAGAAGGACTCGAGTCCCAAGACCGTGCAGTGACCCCGAATCCCGACAGACTCACCGCACGGTGTGGTCACCACCCCGTTAGAGGGGAGTGTAGAGGGGAGTGTAGAGGTATGGATAGAGGTATGGGTATCACCCCAAAAAGAGGGAAACGAGGGGAGTGTAGAGGTATGGGTACCTTTTCCTCCTCTGAGATCCAGGGGAGCTCGGTCGACATCAACTCCGATCGATCGATTCAAAATAGGTCTCTTAGGGAGAGCGCCTCGGAGGGGGCCCCGGGTCAGAACAAGGGCAGTCCTCCAGTCCGGCCCAAGTCCGCTCAAAAAGAGTCCTCGGTCGCCGTGGTCTCGACTGCAGCGAGTTCCGACATGGCGAAACATAGCAAAACCAACACATACACATATATATATATATATATACATATATGTGACCAACACCCTCTGGACGCTTCTTTCTATTGGATGTTTCGCGCCGACTCGATCCGTGACGCTCCTGGGGCCCGAGACAACGCAACACCGCCCCTGGCGGAAGCACTGCGACGCCAGGAACCAAGGGCACCTATCTTCGCGCTTCGCGGAACGCGATCATCTTCGCGCTTTCGCGCCGCCCCCCCCCCAGGAACATGATGAGGGACCCGCGCCTAACTTTGAAATCGCCCAGACCGCGACGCGCGACTAACTTCACACGCCTCGTGGTGGCCCTTGGGGCCCGAGACAAAGCAACATCGCCGTTACGGAAGCACTGCGACGCCAAGAACCCGGACCCGAGGGGGTGGGGCACACGCTGTACACAACCCCCGCACACAAGCTTGTCCAGCACAGGACCGCGGAGCGGGAGTTGCGTACAAACGTGGCACCCCCTGGGGACACGATGCTTGCACACCGCCTCCGCAAACGGTGGCCCGGCACAAGGTTTAGGTCGGGCGTGCTCTCCCACAGGCGGATTCTGGACTAAAAAATAAATTATAAGCAATACCCCAACACAGTTTAAAATTGATAGGAAAATCGTCCCCAGACTAATGTTGGACTATTTTGGCATATTCCTCCTGTACAAACGGACGAGCCCGCCTTCACACAAGGTGCGCGGGCAGGGGCGGTGGCCATGAGCCGGCCCCCGATGGGGGGCCTGCCCTTGCCTCGACCGGCCAGGTCCTCCGAGCGCTCCCGCCCCGCCGCTCCGCGGGGCCTTCTGCTGCTGCACCGCCTCCGCGATGCCCTGGAGCTCGCCAGCCAGCCAGGCGACGAACTCGAGGCAGTCGGCCAGCCTGGGCCCAAGGATCGACGAGAGGGAGCTCGGGCGAGTGTCTTCCTCCGTCGCGTTTCGCGGAGCGCGCAGCGCGACGCTCTTCGCGCTTTCGCGCCGCACATCCCTCAGGACAGGATGAGGGACTCGCGCCTTGCTCTGGGATATCCCAGGCCGCGAAGCGCGAATAACTATCGCAAACTCGCTGTGGCCAGAGGATCGAGAACAGAGAGAGGGAGAGAGAGACCAGCATCCTGGTGACTGCCGGAAACATCAAGATTCAGGTTCAGGATGCGCAGGAACGTCTCAACGGGTTACCAAGCCACCAGGCCAGCCGAACCGACCAGCCTGCTGGTTAGACGGGGAGGACGCGTAAGTTCAAGGGAGAGGGGATGGAGGAGGATGAGAAAGAGGAAGGAGAAAGGAAGGGAGAATGGCAGAGGGAATCAGAATGAGAGGAATGCGTTGGGAGGAGGGGGCAAGGGTGATTGAACGAGGAGTACTTGCCGAGTAAGGGGTGAGAAGCAGGGAGCAACGTGTCAGATACTCCTACCCCTTGCGAGGAACGAGTAAAGGAGGGAGGGCAACGTCAAAAAGCAAGGTGCGAGAAGACAGGAGGGAGGAGGGAGAAGGGAGGGAAGGCAGAGGGCGGAAGAGGAGGAAGGGAGGAGAGGAAGGAGGAGGGCGGAGAGGGGAGGAGGAGGGAAGGATCGATGTGCTGGTGCATTCGGCTTCTCCTGGGTCTCGGGAGGCCTGTGGGAAAGACCTCAGAAACCTGAGGGGAGGGAGGCAGATCGGCCACAGCAGTGCGTGACAGCAGCCGGCGCGTCGATCAGTGAACATCTTTTCAGGTCGGGCGTGTCCCCCTGCATGCGAAGCTTGGACGAACAAAAACTAGAACATGGCGAAAACAATGTTTTTGTATAAAAAACTGATTCCCAAAATATGTCTTGGCCATCTTTGAATGTGCCCCCCTGTAGAGGGAAGGGACGGGCCCGACTGACATCCGTCTCTGCGGCGCCCAAGGTAGGAGCGGGGCGCGCGCGACACTGCCCGCCCGCGGGAGGAAGGACGGGAGGGCGGAGGGGGAGAAGGAGAACAAGGAATCGGAGTACAGTCGGCCTTGATTGGACAGGACACGCGAGAGGACGGCAGACCCTTCTGGGGGCCACGTTGCCACAGAAATGCAGGAGGCATGGGTCGCAAGGCACAGAACACGAGGGTACCCTTGATCTGGCAGGGTCGACCTACTAATCTGGGCCGCCTGTATACCTTGCGAAGCGGCAATATGATGAGCATAGTGGAGGTCGTGGCTGGCATGATAACTTTATGATGCGGTGGTGCTGATCTGCATTGCTGTTTTTGCCCACTGCGGCTGCATGCCAATGTGAAGTGTTCCGGTAAAGACACGGCGAACAAGGAATCTGAGTATACCTGTGCGAAGCGACAATATGATGACTATAGTGGAGATGATGACTGGCATGATCTGCATTCCTGTTTCTGCATTACTGCGGCTGCATGCCAATGTGCAATGCTCCGGTACAGACGGAGAACAAGGAATCGGAGCAAACCTGTGAGAAGCGATAATATGATCAGTATGGTGGAGGTAATGACTGGCATGATACCTTCCTTATGCGGTAATGCTGATCTGCATTACTGTTTCTGTTCACTGCGGTTGCATGCCAATGTGAAGTGTTCCGGTACAGACGGAGAACAAGGAATCTGAGTATACCTGCGCGAAGCGACAATATGATGAGTATAGTGGAGATAATGGCTGGCATGATACCTGTGTTATGCGGTGATGCTGATCTGCAGTATTATTTTGTTCACTGCGGTTGCATGCCAATGTGAAATGTTCCAATACAGACACGGAGAACAAGGAATCTGAGAAAAGGGCGGAGGCAGAAGCGGTTGCCCAGAGCGCGCTGCGACCAGCACATCGGTGCGCACCCAGCGGCGGCGACGAGGGCGCCTCCCCCCCCCCAAAGGGGCACGGAAAAAGACGAGCGCGTCGGAATCCCGCGTTCCTGACCCAGGCAGCAGGGGCATAAATCCAAATGAAGAGCGATCAGGAATCTCTGAGAGCCGGCGGGTGTGAAAAATGTCCGCCACCGCGCTTTCGGCGGCTGGTGCGTCGGGCCTTCCCTTTCTCGTGATTCCGCTTCTTTCAAAGCATTAGTGGAGGGCCCCCAGACGAATCGAACCCATCATCGTTTCATTTGTTCCACCAAGTCCATGCGGTGTTCGCCACCGAAGAAACCAAATAAGTGAACGTTTTTTTATTCGGCGTTTCGACATTGGGTGGAAGGGGGATGGGAAAGGGGGGGGTCTGGCTCCGGGCCTCTGCTTGGAGCGACAGTTTGGGACCGTGCGTCCTATGGGGGAGACTCCACCTGCTCACCTTGCTCGAAGCAGGCGCCAACAAGAGCCAAGACCTGCTCCAAGCGGGGGGGAGGGGAGGGGTTGCGAGGGCCCGCGCCGATCGGCAAAACTGAAGGGGCCCTGGCACACACAAATAGATACACACAAATAAACAGATTCCCAATATTTTCCGATATTTTTGGGGGTTTCGTCTCCCCCCCACTTCCCATATTTTCCAATATTTTGCTGGGGATCCCTCCTGAAAAACAAAGAATACGAAAACGATCGCTAACAAAACCGACAGCCTGGGCATCCGGGTGCAGTGCCGCCACGCCCCCTGGGCGCGTGGGCGCGCCATCTCCCCCCCCGCCGCCCTCCCCCACCCATGGCCCCCCCGGCGCTCCCCCTGGCGCCCGCCCGAGCGCGGTGGCCGAACCGGGCGGCGACGCACCTGGCCATCGAGCGCCGCGGCCGTCTCCGGAGCGTTACTGCAGCGCTCCTGACTACCTACCAGACCACCCCAACCCAAGTTGGGGGGGTACGGGCTCCATATGTGTTTTTTCAGTGTTTCCCGACCCCCCCAACTGGAAATGGAGCGCACATTGAGGCCTTCGGGTTGGGTTGGGGTGGTTTGGTGGGTGGTGAGGTCCTGTAAAATCTCTCGAGCAATCTATATCCTCATCCCCACTCTGGGCTTCTCAGAAAGCGTGGGGGGTTACCCCCCCGACTGGGGGTCAGCCTCGCCTCGTCGTCGCGCCGCGACGGGGGTTCGGAGCGCCTTCGGCGCGCGGTGGCTGTCCGCGACGGGGGCCGCTGTGGAGCTGTCGGCGGGGGCGACGGCCCCCCCGACGCTTGTTAAGAGACTCGGACTAGGCTGCAGGCTCCTCCTCCCGTTTTATGCGGTGTGAGCTGTGGGGGTGAAGGCTGTGTGGCGTGAGCTGTGCCGTGCGGTCTACGACCCGGTGCGAGCTGGAGGTGGGCGCAGAGTGCGGCGCGAGCTGGTGCTGTCGGCTGGGCTGTGCAGGATCTGCGGTGTCAGCTGCGTGGTGTGAGGCTGCGTCGTGAAGGCCAGTGGGGGGGGGTGAGGAGGAGGAGGAGGAGGAGGAGGAGGAGGAGGAGGAGGAGGAGGAGGAGGAGGAGAAGGAGGAGAAGGAGGGGGTGCAAAAGCCGCGTGGGCAGACGTTCCGCGCAGGGCGTGCCGACAGGGCGAACCGAGCGGCAGCGCCGCGCAGCCTCGGCCCGCCCGCCCCGCGCTTCTCCACGACCGACCCAGCGCACGGGGCGCCCACGAGCGAGCCACGTGGCGGCAGCGCGGGGCAGCATGGCGCCGCCTCGGCCGCCCCGCCCATCCAGCGCACGGGGCGCCCACGAGCGAGCCACGTGGCGGCACGGGGCCGCAACGTCGAACAACCTCGGTCAACCCTAAAAACAAGCATCCTTTGGAGAGCAATGATCTCGTAACGTTGAAACGATGTCTTACAGCAGTACTTTCAGCCAGAAGTGTCCTGAGCACGAAGAGTCAAAAGCCACATGTTATCACATGTTCTGCTGGACCTGCAAGCCGACCGAGACGCTTCGGCACTGCTTGACTCTACATTACACCCCGAGGACGAGGAGATGTGCGGAACGACCCTGGAGGGGCGCCGCCGCAATCGACGTTGGGCGTTTACGAGAAAGGGGCCCATGTGCCTTACCAGGTTTGCTCTGTTCTACGACGCCACTCCAACACGGTGCATAACTCTCGGCCTTGAGGGAATGGGCCGAGGATCGAGGACACCTCGGGAGACGCCAACGCAGTACGGTGCACGCAAGTCGTGCGCGGAGTGTTGAGACCGCCGCGGCCTACCCTGGGGGGCAATTTTTCAACAAGCCCCACAGAGCTCAGGCCAGCGAGGACCACCTCTCCAGGGGCAGCCAGTGAACAGTCAGAGCCAAGCCTTTCCAGTATTCCCCCGCCTCCCTGGTCGACCTAGACGAGGCCCCTACCCTTGGCTCTCCTTAAAAAGGCAATGTTGATTGTTTTACCGTTTTGCCCTTTGGGCTCTTGAGTAGCTAAAAACGCTAACAAAAAGCTTTGTGGAGTTTTTGTGTGTTGTTTTAGCGTTTCAGGGCCGTCGCTGTGGATCTTCATTCTCGTTAGTGTTTGTGCTCTCTTGTCAAAAGCTGATCCTTGTCTTCACTGCCATCTTCTCTCTCGCTCTCCCGTTCCTGCCGCCTCCCGTTCTTCCGGCTCCGTGCGTAGAGCGAAAAGCCCTTAAAGGACGCCCCAATACCGGTCTAACACCTGTTCGGAATAGGCCCAGAGGCCCCGCGACCAGCCAGCAACGTCGCCCAGAGAAAAGCAACACTATCCTAGTTAACTTATAAAGGAAGGATGGGATGCAAGGAGAAGAAACCGAGGACGCGGTAGACGGCAACGATAAACAACGCAATCAACTCATCTGAGTTACTGAAAGCGGAGCTCAAAACGCAAAGAACACATGAATCGTTTGTGTTATCGCTTTGAAGTTTTAGTTTGGGACCGAAAAGCGCTAAACAGTGATTCCCAACACGCCAAGTTCAAAACGGTAAAGACACGCCAAGGGTAGATCTAAGAAGAACCAAGCCCAACTCCCTCCCTCCAACGATGACGCCCACAACCAAACCTTGCCGTTGCTTATTGTCCCGCCCTCGTCGACCTAGACCTCCGGCGGTCGACACCTTCGCGAGGGCCGGATGAGTCATCCCCAGCAGGCCTGGCCTGGATCGTGATCGCCCATAGTCGTCGTGCATTGTCGTCTTCGTCGTCCCTGAGATCCGACGTTGAGAGATAAAAAAAGATCGCGAGAAGTCGCGACTGGAGCCCTAAACCTTGTCTTCCGGCGGACTTTTCGAGCCGGATCTGTGATGGTCCCGGGGCCCGAAACGCAAAAACGCAATGGGGGGGGAACAATTGCAACGCCCAAATCTCAGGGCCTTCTCCCCCTATCGATTTTCAGATCAGACCTAGGGTCTCAGGCGGCCGTTGGGGACGATCCGGGCATTCCCAGGATCCGGACATTCCCAGGAAGCTCTCGACGAGGCCCAGCTGCTGGAGGGCATCCCCAGGCTGGTAAACCGTCGAGAATCGTCGTCGTAGTCGTCGCCATCTTCGTCGTCGTCGTCGTCGAGCCTATCGTCATCGTCATCGAGCCAATCGTCGTCGTCGTCGTCGTCGCAGTCGTCGTCGCCGTCGTCGTCGTCGTCGTCGAGCCGATCGTCGTCATCGTCGTCGAGCACATCGTCGTCGTCGTAGTCATCATCGTCGTCATCGTCGAGCCCATCGTCCTCGTCTTACCCGTCGTCCTCGTCGCCGTCGAGCCCATCGTCGTCGTAGTCGTCGTCGTCATCGATCCCGCCGTCGTCGTGATCGTCGTCGTCGTCGTCGAGCCCATCGTCGTTGTCGTCGTCGTCGAGCCCATCGTCGTCGTAGTCGTTGTCGTCGTCGAGACCATCGTCGTCGTCGTCGTCGAGCTCATCGTGGTCGTCGTCGTCATGGTCGTCGTCGAGCATATCGTCGTCGTCGTGGTCGTCGTCGACGTCGAGCCCGTCGTCGTCGTCGTCGAAGCTGTCGTCGTCGTCGAACACATCGTCGTCGTGGTCGCCGTCGTCGTCGTCGTCGTCGTCGTCGTCGTCGAGCCTATCGCCGTCGTCGTCGAGCCAATTGTCGTGATCGTCGTTGTCGTCGTCGAGCCCATCGTCGTCGTCGTTGTCGCCGTCGTCGTGGTTGTGGTCGTCGTCGTCGTCGTCGTCATCTTCGTCTTTGTCGTCGTCATCGTTGTCGTGATCGCCCAAGGCCGCGCCGCTCGACTTCAAGGCCCGCCCGGCGCGGCCATTCTTCGCCGCCGTCCTCGGCGCCCGTGGGGTGGCCAGCCGCCGCCAGGGCGAGCTCGAGTTCGCTCGCCTCGCGAGGGCCGAGGGAGAGGCTCGGAGGCGAGCCCCTGGGGGAAGTCAAGGGCTCCCAACTTCGCGCTTCGCGCTGCGCGAAGCGCGAAGTGCGAATAGCTTCGCGCTCTCGCGCCGCCTCCCAGGGCAGAAGAGGAGAACGAGGAATCGGAGCCGAACCGCGAAGCGCGGATAACTTCGCGCTCTCGAGGGCGCCCTTGGAAGTGAGAGTCGATGATCCTTAGAAAGTGTGTTCGCGCCAAAGTGTGATTGTCTACCGAAGCCCTCCGACACGAAGCATGCGGTGCAACTGTGGCCACCACAGGCTGTGCGCAGCCGAAGTGAGTAGTTAAACACACGCTTGGGATAGCACACGTCTTGAGGATCACCGAGAGAGGGGGCGGGCCATCTCAGAAGGCGGCTCGGAAGGCCCCAGGCCTTCAGAGGAAATGTCTAAGCCTCGTCGCATGTGGCTCTTCTCTCCCTTGCCCCGCTCCAGCCTGCCCGCCCGCCCCGACGGCCTCCGCCTCTCGCCTGCGCGTCCGTCGTCGTCTGCATGCTTCTCCCCTACTCTTCCCCCTCCGCCTGGCAGCACAGCCTGCCCGGGACCACCGCGGCGGCGCGTAGGGCTTCGCTGTAAACCCTCTTGGGACATTCGAACTTCGACGTCGACGACGGCTACTATGACGGCGCAGGCCGCCCGCGCCCTGACACGATCGTGCCGCGTGGCATCTGGCGTTCACGCCGCCGGCGGGCGCGAGTTTTTAGCAACACTATCTTTGGCGCCGGAGTTTGTGCTTCTTGGAGGGTCTCTTCCTCGCGAAGACTTCAGCCGTGGCAGGTACTTTCTAAGCCATCTCCGACGACAGCGACGGCTTCTCAGCAGGCCAGAGGGCTTCTGAGAAGCCCCGCCGCCATGTGAGAAGGCCCGCCCTCTCTCACTTCCCCTCTGGGCGCGCCGCCGAAGAGGCGCCACCGCCACCACCACTGCGAGGTGCAGGAGGTTGGCCCTTCTAGCGGTGAGGACCGAGCACGATGGATATATATATATATATACATACATACATACATATATACATATATACATACATATATATACATAGCACGATGGATATATACATACATACATACATATATATATATATATATACATACATATATATATATATATATATATATATATATATATGTATATATATGTTTATGCTTACGGAGGGACGAAGACCGGCAGCAGCTGCTGTCCTTGGTCGGCAATCTCGCCATCGGATCCGCCGAGTTGAACTAACTGCCCGGAAGACACGGGGTCTCCGTGGTAACGACTCAACTCTTTTGAGCCCGAAGGAGGGGGCCCCTAGCCAAACCAGGCTGGATTACGCAAGGACCAAGCTGAATTAAGCGGGAGTAAACAGGATTACGCCAGGTCAATGTCCGACCACCGATATACCAGCGCCGATGCTGAGGGTAACATCTCAGGAAATGCACAGCAACCACCACCACCACCGCCAGGGATCGCAACGGGCAAAAGGGGGGGGGGGGGGCGGTCCTGTTACGGCCTCGGCACGACTGAAATCTGAGTACGGAATGAATCTGGAAGAAGATCGGCAGCACCTGCTGCCCATTTTGCGCAGGGCTCGCCGTCGGATTCTCCGCGGGTGTCCAGTTGAGGCGGAAGACCCGCCTGCCAAACAACGTGCCGCTGGACATCGCACCGCTTTTTACCTGCACATTTCGGGCGTGCCAGCTGGTGGTGTTCTCCCCCTGTTCCGCTTCAGATGTAAGACGAAGCCAGGATCAGGACAACATCGGACCACGACAAATCGAGGATCCTTGAGAACCAGCGGTTCTGGAGGACGAATCTCATCGCCGCGGCCGTTCCAGAGAACTGAGGAACACTCCGAGGGCGTCCCGGAATGCTATGGAGCGCTTTATCACCGACCGACAACGCCCTGGAGAAACAATGAAACTTCAATCGACGTCATGTTTGTTTTCGATGCTCTCGGTTTTTGGTAAATTTGACCACCGCGGGCCATTATCGGGCACCGGGACCGTCAGAAACGGGCCTGGGGCGGTAACAAAAAAAACAGGAAGCCCCCCGGACAATTCTTCGACACGAGCTGCAAAAGTTAAAATATTTTTCCATGGGGGTTTTGGTTGACCCTAGAAAGGGTCCTGGTGCAATAGATTTGGGGAAGTTGTGTTGCAATCAGCGTATTGAACGGGTGACTCCAGCAATGCGCCTGCGCACCAAAATAGACTGCGCATCGCACGCCCCAACCGATTGCAACCCCACAAATCTCTTGCCCCCAATCTGCTGCACCTCCTTCTGCTGACCCCCTTGTGGGTCAACCAGAGTGTAGGTAGCCCCCTGCACAGAGACATTGCCAGCCTCCGCCCAGAGGCGCCAGAGGACAGCCCCCCCCCCCGGGCGGCACTGCTGCCGCTTCTCCTCCCCGCGGCCTCGGCCACGACCTGCTCCAGCGCCTGCAGCACCAGCCTGCGGGGCCGCGGCCCGCGAGGACACGCGCTCGGGGATCGAGGCCCCGGGGCGCGCGTGGAGCTCTGTGGGGGTCTCCTGCGTAGGGGGACTTCTCGTCACCGCGGCGGCTGGACTCCGCGCAAAGTCCACGCGAAGTCCGGGAGCCATTGGGAGTCGTTTGTGGTCCAGCGCCTGCAGCACCAGCTGGGACGCACAGAGCCATACAAGTACTGTATGCTCTCCTTGGAGGCGCGCGTCCGACCCGAGCATATACTATATACCCATTTTGTAGTAGATCCTTTCCCGAACAGTGTGGCCAAAAGTCGCCCGCCGCGACACATACACTGTAAAGATTTCTCGGTGCGCACGTCGCCCCTGGGGGGACGACGCACATCTAGTAAAAGTATTACACCAGAGCAAACCCCAATCAATGGATGGTTTGATCGATAAGGAGATCGGCCAGAAACCGGGGAACCTGGAATCCACAGAAATCGGCCCAGAACCAATAACTAGGAACCCGGGAACCCGGAACCAGGGAACGAAGCCGGCCACCAAAGTCGGCGGGACACTTTCGCCGCCAAATTTGTTAATTTCCGCCAGGACCCCTTCAGTGCAAGCACTGCTTGGGGAAAAGAGCCACTGACAGCCCTGCTCCCTTGTCCTCTCCAGGTGTGCGCTCCGATCCAGACTGCAGAGCGAGTCCAGCCGTGGCGACGAAGGCCTCCGAGGCTTCAGCACATGCTCCAGGCAGCGCAAAACATGTCATACCCTCTCTCCCCCACTCCCTCCCTGACCTTCCTCCGTTGGCCCCCTCTCGCCCCTCGCCCCTCAGTGCAAGCACCGATTGGAAAATGTTGGGATGACGCCGATGAGCCTCGAGCGTCGAGGCTCGAGGGCCCAAGCTGGAGGGTCGAGGCCCCTGTGGGCGGTTGTTTTGGGGGGCTCTCTGGGGCCTCCGGGGGGGGGCTGCTCGCCGCCAAGTGGCGGGGTCCGCCGCGGCGCCCTGGCCGGCACGCGCCCCCCGGGGCGTGTCGCAGGGGCGACTTCTTGGCTTAGGGCGGGCATGGCCTCCCTCCTCCTAGATGGCCTCCTAGATGGGGTCGGAGTAGATGGGGTCGGATGATCGCGCTGCATCGCCGATACATCACCGATACCTTGGCGATGCATCGGCGATGGATCGGCGATGCACTGGCTATGCATCGTCGACATCGGCGATGCATCGGCGGCGCCATCGTGGAGAAAGCGACGCGTCGGCGATGCGGCGCGATCCTCCGACCGCATCTACTCGGACCCCATCTAAGAGGCCTAGATCCTTGCGACCCAAATAAGGAGGTCCAGCTGAGAGGGGGTGGTGCAATAGATGTGGGGCAAGTGTATTGCAAATGTCTTGCGCCAGAGAACTGCATTGCATTGCATTGCAACAAATGTATTGCGAGCGGAAACCCAGCAATACATTTGCGCCCCGGAATGTATTGCACGCCCCAAACCTATTGCACCACCCCCTTGTCGCTGGACCCCCTTTTGGGTCAACCCGAGACTCCTTCAGGGGGATTTTGGACGAAAAACTACAACTAGCCAACACTGATTCGAACAGATGTTTAAACAATGATCGAAACATGGCCCCAGACCTTTCTCTGTTACTGTTCGTGAACACTTCGCCTGTAAAAGGACCTTTGAGGGCCCCGGAAACGGCAGGGCCGTTTTTTCACTGTTTCCAAAAACATGTTCTTGAAAATGGAAACTGCAAAAAAACGGCGACCGAAAACGACAAAAAAAACGGCTCCAGGAATGGAACTGGAGCCGGAACTGGTCAAAAAAACGGCGTCAGAACCGGCAACAAAAACGGCAAAATGGAACAGGTAACAAAACGGCCCTGTCGTTTCCAGGGCCCACGAAGCCCAAGAGGGCCCAAGAGGCCCCCAAGAGGCCCCCAAGAGGGCCCCAAGAGGTCCCAAGAGGCCCCCAAGAGGCCCCTAGCAGGACCCAAGAGGCCCAGAAGAGGCCCCCGCTCGCCGTCCGTCGTCGTCGTCGTCGTCGTCGTCGTCGTCGTCGTCGTCGTCGTCGTCGTCGTCGTCGTCGTCGTCGTCGGCCGTCGGCAGCCGGTAACAAAACGGCCATGTCGCTTCCAGGGCCCACTAAGAGATGGACACGCCCGACCTTGCTCCTGGCCCTCGGGCCCGGGCCGTCGGCGCCACGGAGGACTCGCGAGAGGATACGCTTCCCCTCAAGGTCGGCAGACGGCGTGGCGCGGAGAGCCTGCCGAAGGGTCCTCTCCTCCTCCTGCACCTCGTCCTCGTCCTCGTCCGCCTCCACCTCCTCCTCATCCTTATCCTCCGCCTCCAAATCCGCCTCCGCCTCCTCCTCTTCCGCCTCCGCCTCCTCCCTCCTCCTCCTCCTCCTCCTCCTCCCTCCTCTCCCTCCTCCTCCTCCTCCTCATCCTTCTTCTCCTCCTCGCGCGGTTACACGTTGAAGGGAACAATATTCCCATGCGCGATGACGCCCGTTTCTGGCCCCGCACTCCGCTCCCCTCCCCCCTGGGTCGCGTCACGATTCGCGCCAGCGGCCTTTGCGTTACCGGCCCCCTCCCCCCTCCCCCCTCCCCCACCCAGTCACGACCGCGATTGTCAGGGAATTAAAAAATAGTCTCAGAGTTAGGTCGGGCATGTCTCCCTACAGGCGCATTTTGGACGAAAAAGAAAGATAGCCCACACAATGCTGCAAAATAGTCAAGAATATGTTAAACAATCCCCTGACAATTTTTTACTACTTTGAATATTCCTCCTGTAGAGCAACAGGCCCGACTTAAACCCAGTCACGACGGCGATCGCCAGCGGCCTTTACGTTATCGGCCCCCTCCCCCCCTTTCCCACCCAGTCACGATCGATGATCCTCAGAACGCGTGTTAGCCCCAACGTGTGTTTGTCAATCGATGCCCTTCGATACGACGCAGGCGATGTAATGATCTACAGGTTGGGCTGAAGGGGGTAACACACACAGTGAGCTAACAAACGTCCTGACGATCATCGACACGACCGCGATCGCCAGGAGATGAAAGAATGGTCTCAGAGGGTCGAAAAGCTTTGGGGCCCACGCCTTGAACCATTTACTGCGTCGGAGGCCAGCATCGAGTCGCTACCTCTTTGGTTGTCCGTTCCACGGGAGCCTACGTGGCCCCCGGCGCTGTCCGATTTGGACCTGATTCGGACCAGATTGAGAGGGCCCAGGGACACACAAATAAATACACACAAATACCAATACTCCCAATATTTTCTCATATGCTCTGGGTCTTCGTCTTCCCCCCACTTCCCGTAATTGTGTCTGTGTTTTTTCTCCTCCTGATAGGTGACCCGCGGCGCTGTTCGATTTGGATCTGATTCGGACCGGATTTGGAACACAATATGGGACCGGATTGAAACCAGGTTTAGACCAGATTCGCCTCTTCACAACTGAGACGAGAAGAACGAGGGGGAGGAGGAATTCGGATGGGCGAGAAGCAGGAGGAAGGGACAAATGCGGTCCAAATGAGCGACGATCAGAACTGGGTCCAACGCGAGGACCATAGCGACCTTACCCGGCGGCTTGCGCGGGCCGCCAGCGCGGCACGCCACACTGGAAACGAGGGCGCTGACGCGCGACCCCACGCAGCAAACGTACGCGCCAATGTCGGCGCCATTGGACCCGTTCGTTTCTATGCTCCGTGTGGAGAGAAAACTGATTTCAGTGTCGCCGATGAACGGACAATCAATACTCGGCGGCGAGCGAGTGAGGAGGAGAAGGCCCTCTCAGAAGGCGGCGGGGCTTCTCAGAAGCTTCTCCTGCCTTCGGGGAAGGCTTAGACAAACTCTCAGAAGGCTGGGGGACTTCGGATCCTTCCGAGAAGGCCCGCCCCCTCTTCTGGTGGTCTCCGGGTCGGGCGCCGCGGCCTCCTCAGCGTCTAGGAGCGCTCTGAGAGCCTCCCTGACTACCTACTTACCAGACCACCCCCAACCCAACCGGAAGACACGAATTTCGAGTTGGGGGGGTACGGATTCCATATGTGTTTTTTCAATATTCCCAGACCCCCCCCCACTGGAAATGGAGGGCAAATCGGGGCCTTCTGGTTGGGTTGGGGTGGGTTGGTGGGTGGTGACTCCACGAACGCTCTGTGGAGCGGATTCCTCCTCGTCCTGGCCCCGTTACCCGCGCGCACCGGGGCCAGGTCGGGCCGCCGCGGGCTCAGGTCGTGCGGGGCGGCACCCCGAGCCGAGCGCGGACGGACAAGCAGCGGCACGAGCGTGCTCCACGCCATGGAAGAGTGCTCCGGACGGCCCATCTACCAACTCCCCAGCCAGCCCTCAGGCCCATCGCGGCCGACCTTCACTACCAACCCATCCGAGTGGACGGCCCCAGCAGCAGTGGGCGCAAGAAGTGTACAGGATGATGCAGAACCTCTGAGCACCCTTCTGATCGGAATCATGCGCGTTGTATTTCCTCTCCTTCTCGTCCTCCTCCTCTTCCTCCGCCGCTTCCCTGTCCGTCTCTGCTTCAGTCGAAAACTTCCCTTTTCCTGTCACGCTCTGCCTATGTTCTTGGAGGGGTCGACAATCGCGCGCTCTTTTGCCCACGCGTCCCTCTGGACTCAGATCGGGCATGTCCCCCTGCAGGCGGATTTTGGGCGAAGACTTTCAAAATTGTCGAACAGAAAAACTCAAAGATGGTCAAGAAATGATCCCGAAATCGCCCCCAGTGACTCTTTTTGCTTCTTCCTCCTGTAGAGGGACAGGCCCGACTTAACTCTGGATGCTTGGCTTTGTGGTGGTGGTGGTTGTAGTGTCGGGCGTTGGCAGAACTGGGTTTAGTGGGACATGGTTTAGTGATGTGCTGGGGAACACCACCCCCGCCCCGTTCCACGAACCGAAACTGCCGCCACCCGAAACACGTCTGCTGCGGCAGACCTGGCTTAGTGATTCGTTCACATTTTGGGCTTCGGGGCCAAATCACTAACCGGCTCCCCTTAACCGGAGTCCTGGCTATACCCGATAGCGGTGTTATGTCGGGCGAGTCCCCCTGGGGGATTTTCGACGAAAAACAAAAAATATTTAAAAAAAAAAAAAAAAAAAAAAACTCCAGAATGGCCAACATTTTTTTTGTAAGTCCCCAGACTATGTTTGGGACTATTTGTTGTCCATTTTGGGGTGTATTTCTTATGTTTCGTCGAAAATCCCCCTGTAGGGGGACAGGCCCGACTTCATAGTGGTGGTGGTGGTGCGGTCAGGCTTCGCAGGTGCCCTAATAAGGACGCGCGGTAAGGACGCAAGACCCTTGGAAGCCGAAGTTGGGATTTTGGGGGCGGCGGGCGACGAAAACCTCAAGGACGCAGAAGCAAGGAAGAGCAGGGACGCAAGGGTACCCTGAGCAAAGTCGCGCGTCCTTGTTAGGGTAGGGTTGTTGACTGTATGACCGTTTATATTCGAAAGTTCTTGCGCCTAGACATTCACGGCGGACAGGTCCATGCGAATAGATGCACATATGGGGAGCTCCACGCAGTGAATAATTGCTTATTTGTTGGGTATATGTTTTACTTTTCGTCGGACATCCCCCTGTAGGGGGACAGGCCCGACTTAACAATGGTGGTGGTGGTGGTGCAGTCAGGCTTCGCAGGTGCGCGCGGCCCCCTCCGGGAGGGGGCGCGCGGCCCTGCCTCCCTCTCCACGCGGCGCGCGGAGGGCGCGCGCCGGGGGGCGGCGGCAGGAGGCGCCGGCTTCCCCACAGGTCCGCACGGGTCTGCGAAGCTGCTCGGGGATGGACAGAACGCCCTTTATGAAGGGGCCCTGGGACACACAAATAAATACACACAAACAACAGGATCCCCAATATTTTCCCATATTTTCTGGGTTTTTGTCTTCCCCACCACTTCCCATATTTTCCTGGGAGTCGACGATTCATTGTGTCTGTGTGTTTCTTTCCCTCCTGATATTCTCGGGGATGGACAGAACCCCCTTTAGTAAAACGTGGTTTACTGACAACGGCCTCGGGCCCAGACCTGGCGGGCGCAAGCCTGGAAAATGACGGCCGCGGCGCCCTCTCGAGAACCGAGAACGGACAATTCGCGAATCGACGTGGCAGGGTGGGGGGGTCTGTCCAGCCCCGATATTCAGTGGCACCGCAAACTTTGGTAATCACGTGCAGGATCTAAACGATGCCCAGAGTTATATTGTTCCCATCGTCCTTAAGGACACAGCCATCCCAGAATCAAATTCGAGCACCCAGGAAAATATCGAAACAGTGTCGAACGAGTATCGCCTCCCAGGGCCCGACACGTGAAAACCCTCCAGTGTCGTCACTTTCTTGGTGCTCGATTTTTTTGCTGGTGATCAAGGCTAACAAAGAATTTGGAACATCATAAGCCTAGAGGTAAATTCTGCCCCAAACCGGCAGCGGCCGCTGCCAGGAAAGCGACTTTTTGGATCGAGTGTGTCAATGTCCCCTGCGTCCCCAACAGCGAGTCCCGTTCAAAACTGCCAGGAACTGGTGTCGGTCCTCGTCACCCTTCTTTCCCCACAATGCCCACTTCGGTCGTATCGAATATTCATGTTCGTTTCGTCTTTTTTCCCGAAAGCCGGACCGCCTGAAACGGAAATACGTCCGGGCTCATGCCAGAGGATGCAACTCCTCGGAGGTTTCCGTGAGAACGATTCAGGGCTGTCGGGTCTGATTCGAAGGTAACTCGGCTGGACTCGTCGGCCAAGTTAACCCGGGATAGAAGCTGGATAGAGCTGGCTGGGTGAAAACAGTTTGCGGCGCGCACACGGGGGTAGAGTGAGGGGGGAAGGCTCCCAGAAGGCGGCTGCCCCTTGGAAGGCGCCGGCCGCCCTTCGAAGAAGCCAGGGGCGCGCCGCTTGTTAGAAGCACCCCAGCAGCCCCTTGAAGCCCGACTCCACGGGATCTGGCTGGGTGGAAACGGCCTCCCACCAAGAATGTGCCCGTGCCGATGCGCCTCTTCGGGGATCTGCTGACCCGGGTCAATCCAGACCCGGGTCAATCGGGCTTTGCAGGATCCTGCAAGATCCTGCAAGATCCTGTACCCAAACCCGGGTCAACGCGAAGGATCCTGCAAGATCCTGCAGGATCCTGCACCCAACCCCAGGTCGACACGACCCTGGCCCTGCAAGATCCTGCAAGATCCGGCGCTCTGGCTGACCCCCGTTTGCAGCGACCCCCCGTCTCACGACTCCCGACCTCTCGAGGTCGCGTCCGGACCGGCCGCGCCGGATGGGGCCCAGCCTGTGCCACTTCGACGCCAGCGCGGCGGGGCTCCGGCGGTCCTCTCGGGTGGCGCCCGGGGCGACGAGCACAGCCGGTACATCTCTGGCGGGCCAGCTCTGGGGTCAAGTCGGGCATTACAGAAGGAATATTCACAAATAGTCAAAACATAGTCTGGCGACGATTGTTTCTATGTTTGAATATTATTGATTTTTGTTTTGACTCTGTTTTATTTGTCGTCCAAAAGCCTATATGTTCTGGGTGGGACCTGCCAGAAGCCAAGCGCACCGAAAACCTGCACAAGCCCCGCGCGCCAAGGAACACTCATAGACGCGCTGCCGGCGAAGCGAGCCGTTCCAGAGGAAGGGGCCGTGAGGGCGAGGGCCTCCACACACACACACACACACACACACTGGGCACACCCTGGGCACACCGCAGGCACACGCCAGACACGCGCCACTCACGCGCCAGACACACGCCAGACACAACCCAGATACACGCCAGACACATGCCAGGCACACGCCAAACACGCCAGACACACGACAGACACTCGCCAGAGACACACCAAACACACCCAGACACACGACACACACACACACACACATACACACATACGCCAGATACGCGCCTGACACATGCCGGACACACGCCAAACACACGACAGGCACATGCCAGACACACGCCGGACACACCCCAGACAATCCCCCGACACACCTGGGCAAACGCCAGACTCATCCTAGAAACACCCCAAACACACGCCAGACACAACCTGGACGCACCCAGACAAACGTCAAACACACAAACACACACACACACACACCAGACACACCCAGACACATGTCATACACACGCCAGACACACGCCAGACACACCTAGACGCACGCCAGACACACCCAGACACACGCCAGACACACGCCAGACACACGCCAGACACACGCAAGACACACGCAAGACACAAGACAGACACACGCCAGACACGCCCAGGCGCACCCAGGCATGACGACGATGACGAGGACTGCAGCGACTGCGAGCGCGACGACCCCATCTCCAGCTCCGACGACTCCGACGCCGACGACTCCGACGACAATGGCCCTCCGACCCTACTTGTCTGCTTCACCCCTTCTGCACTCTCACGGCCGAAATATCGGAGGCGTAATACACAATACTTGGTACATTGGCTACCGCACGCAAGCAGGTACGGACACACATACAAACGCATACATCTACACTGAAAAATGCGCGTCTACACGCAACGTTGCTGCGTCGGGCCCTCTAAAAAAACCCGTTTGACGTACGCAAGTGGATACACTTGAGCGCATCCTGTCCTCGCAATTGTATGTCGTAGAGGTATGGTTACTGTGCGTGGGCCCAGTGAAATGTTGCAGTGCACGCGCACACACAACAGTGGAGTGTGGACACATCTCGGGCTAGGTGCCTATATTGGAACTACGCAAACAGATTCAGAGAACTGCGCGCAGGGGAAGCCCCAGACAGATCCAAGCAAACCCATACACACCCCAGACACATCCAAGATACACCGTAGTACGCACTCCACACGCACGCCAGACACACGCCAAACCCACCCAGGACAGACCCCAGACAGATCCCAGACGCACCCAGACGTACGGCAGACATGCCACAGACACACGCCAAACACACCGTGACACACGCCAGACACACCCAGACACACCCCGACATGACGACGACGATGACTCTGACGACTTCGACTGCAGCGACTCCACCTCGAACTCTGGCGACTCCGACGCCAACGCCGATTCCAACGACTCCGACTTCAAAAGAGGCCAAGAAGGCGTTGATGCAACATTCTGCGTCGTCTCTCATCCTTCCCTTCCTCCCTCAATTTCTCTCGTCCTCCGTCCTCGTGGTCTTCCTGTTGTCCTCTCGCTCTGTCACTCCCTCCTACTGCACCTACCTCCTTCCCAACTCCCCCGCAATCCACCGCTCGTCCATCTATCCTCAACTCCCAATCTCACCCCCTCCCCCCTTTGTCCATCCTCCGCCCCCCCGTCATCTTACCTCCCTGGAACTCCTATCCCGTCCCCATCCCGCCACCCCATGGATTCCCTACCTCACAGAGTGGAGGCTATAAGGTAGTAGGCCCCTGAGGGTCATAATCCCGTGCTCCTAATCTCAATCCCCCTGGGGATAATAAAGTTCAGGGGCCACGAGGGATAATAAACGTTTTCCTGGAGATCGCAACATAATGATGAAAATGATAACGATGATGATGACGACGATCAAGATTATCCTGGACGTTCATAGGAACCCTTAATAGGAAATCCATCGGAATCCTTTCGGGAATTCATAAGATACGTTAGGAATTCCTTAGTACATCCATATGGATCCTTGGGACATCCATAGTATTCCTTGGGACATCCATCGGAATCCTCCGGGAATCCATAGGATTCCTTCGGACATCCATATGGATCCATGGGGACACCTATAGGATTCCTTCGGAAATCCATCAGAATCCTTAGGAATCCCTGCTACTCAACATGAGAAGGGAGCGACTTCGATTCGAAACTTCCCCCTGCGATTCTCAGATTCGGCCTTACCGCCCCTCTTCCCCGACCAAGTCTGCACTGGCCAGGGATGATCAACCTTCGCGTGGGAAGGGGGGGCTCTGATTTGTTCTCCAGGGCTCGGGGTTACTTGGGGCCCACACTGCCCCTCCAGCGATGTATCAAGCACAGACCCCGGTCAGCCGCTCACGGGAGCATTCGCGCTACACCTAGGCGTTTGCTTTTGCTCCACTTTCGTTCCACTGCTGTTCCGCCTCCGATCGAACACGCTCAACGTCCTCCGTGGGCCTAACGCCATCAGAACACGACGGCCACGGGAGCTCGAATCGACGCAGAAATGGCAAGGAAACGGCACGGACTCTGAGAACAGAAAGTGTAACGTAACACGAAGGCTCCCATGAACGGATAAACAACAGAACAGGCAGCAAGTCAGCTCGGACCAGGCAGCAGGCTGAGTGGGAGGTCGCAGACAGCAACCAACTGTGTCTTGACTGGCTTCCAGACCTCCCACGCCTTGAACAAGAAGCAAAACGGAGGTTTCTTGATGTGTTCGGGCCCTGGGGCCTTTACCAAAACCAGGTCCCAGACCTACAAAAACCGATTCGGGATGAAAAGCCGAGCCTGCAAATGGGTCAGGACGCCCAGGGACAACGTATGGAAAAAATCAGGACATCGCATGTCTGGGTGCACGCGCGCAGACGGGTCAGCAACAGGCTGGGCAGCAGGCAAGGGACGAAACGCGGGGAACCCGAAAACTCAGCAACTCGTCTGTGCTGACTGGTCGGCGCGTCCGCGAGTCCTCGAGGTAGGAGTCCGCCACCCAGCCCTCCCCGCGATCGGCAGCCGCGTCCGCTGCCGCTCGCGGACCCTGCCACTCCCGGCAATAGGTCCAGCCGCTGTAGTGGCGGGCCACCACTTCGACCACCTGCTGGCGGCGCACAGCACGCAATCGAACCCCGACACGAGCCCATTCCTTCATCATTCCAGGCCACGCCCGCGACAGGCCCCGACCCCCCCATTCCATCCCCCGCCGGGTCACGTCTCGATTCGGGCCGGCGCCGTCTGAGACTGAGCCGCTCCGAAGCATTCCCAGACGACGCCAGCGCAAATCGTCACGTGACCGGCCCCTCCCACTCCCCCTCGCCCCCCCGGCAACGTTTGCAATCTCAGGGGGTAAAAAACATGCTAGTCTACAGCTTTTCAGGGGAGCCTCAGATGGTTCCCAGAGCATCCGACGCTGGCCCTCTGGGAGCCCAAGGCGGTGGGAACAGCTGGTGTCGCCACCTTGAGTTGGGGTACCCCTTGCAACCTCCGACCATACGCCCCCCTGATCACGCCTCTTAGTGAGCGTTTGGTTTCTCGGCGTTTCGACATTGGGCGGAAGGGGAGGGGGAGGGGTCTGACTCTGGACTTTTGCTTGGTGCAACTGTTTGGGACCGTGCATCCTATAGGGGAGGGGCTCCGCCAGCTCGAAACGGACGCCAAAAAACAGCCACTATCTACTCCATGGGGTGCGAGGGCCCGTACCAATCGGCAACACAACACATAACAACGGCCATGATACCGCAGAAAAAAAAGCAAACAAAAAAATCGGATTGTTTGGGGGTCTATGGGGCTGTAGGGCTATAGAGTTATGGGGCTATAGGGCTATATGGTTATAAGGATAAAAGGGCTATTGGGCTACAGGGCTATAGGGCTATAGGGCTGTAGGGCTGTACGGCTACAGGGTTATCACATAGTATGTTATAGCCCTCCTGTAGAGGGACAGGCCCGACTTAACTCTACTTGGGGGACGTCGACTGCACGGTTTCCCCCGGGGCCGTAGGCGACCCGAGGAGGAGGAGGAGGAGAAGGAGGAGGAGGAGGAGGAGGAGGAGGAGGAGAAGAAAAAAAAAAAGAAGCAAACCGCGCAACGCGGTTCGGGCGCCCGCCCAGCCCCCGCCTCAGCGGGGCATCATGATGAAGTAGCTCTTCAGGTTGAAGCGTCGACGCCAAGAGAGTTCTCAGAGTCTGCGGCCTCCGTTTCGCGCCGCGGCCCGTCCCAGTTTCACCTCTGGGCCCTGGCCGCGGCGCTGGCCTCGCCGCAGCCCGTCCCCGTTCCACCTCGGGGCCCTGGCCGCAGGTCATTGGCTGGTCCTCGTCGCCTCGCCGCAGCCCGTCCCCGTTTCACCTCGGGGCCCTGGCCGCGGTTCATTGGCTGCTCCGTCCGCTGGTCGTGCTGCAGCTTCTTGGCCTTCAGCAGGTCGTACTGCTGCTGTAGCTCCTGCTCCTCCGCCGTCAGCTGGTCGAGCTCCAGCTCCTTGGCGCGCAGCAGGTCGTGCTGCTGCTGTAGCTTCTGCTCCTCCAGCTCGTCGGGCCCCCCCTCCAGGCCGTCGCTGTCCTGGGTGTCGAGCCGCGCGGAGTGGGAGAGCAGCACCCCGCCTTCTGGGAGCCGCCTGGTTCCGCCGACGATGCTGTCGCCGCCGACGGCCGCCTTTCCGTCGAGCTCCGCCTCGTGGAGCGCCCACTCGGCCGCCGCCACCGCCATGGCCTGGTTGAGGATCGCGTCGTCGTCCTCGGTGCCGCCATCCCGCGAGCCGCGATGGCCCAGGCGGCTCTCGGCTTTGCCTTTGACCTCCATGCCGCCTTCGCCGCCACTGGAGCAGCCGTCGGCATCGTGGGAGTCCTCGTCGTCGACGGCGGAGAGGGCGGCGTACCTCCCGCTCCGGATCTTCGCGCCGTCGATGTCCTTCACCTTGGTGACCTCGCTGGAGAGCGCCATATTGATCTGCTCGGATGATACAGCTGTGCCGAACAGTCCTGCGCACGGGGGCTGCGGCGCAGAGCCCACGCCATGGACCTTCTCGCCGACGTGATCGGAGCAGTCACGCTGCTGGTCCGCCGCTGCCTGCACGAGCCGCTCGGCAGCTTGCTCATGCTCCGGAGTTTGCTGCGCCGAGCCCTTGTCCGCGGCCGCGCCCGCCGCGTACTCCGCGACACACGTGGGGCCAGCCGCCGCGCCGTCCGCCTGCCCGCAGCCCGGGTGTTGCGCCGGAGCGGATAGGAGGGGGGAGTCCAGCGTCGCCACGAACTGCGCCGCGCCGACGTCCGCCCAGGTGTGGAGCACGACGCCGATCACCGGCGTGCCCCACCTCGCCAGGCCGCACGAACACCACCAGCCGCCGGCCGGCAGGTCCATCGCGCGCGGCCCGGCCGGCGCTAGTCTCAGCACGAGCAGGGCTCGCGCCGAAACTGGAGGAGGAGGAGGAGGAGGAGGAGGAGGAGGAGGAGGAGGAGGAGGAGGAGGAGGAGGGGTCGCCTAAGGCCTTCGGAGAAACCCTCCACTCGGGGGACGTCGACGGAGCCGACCCTGGCTGGAGCCGCCCTGGGCCCAGGATCGGTGCCTGCGACCCCCCCCCCCGGGACAAGATCCCAGGACGGCGCAGGCGCTGGTCCTGGTCCCAGAGTGGCGGCCTGGCCAGGACGGGTGGGACGGCCAGCGGGCGTCATGACTTTGTTGAACAAATTGATGGCGCCCGCTGGAAGGCCAAGTGGCTCCCCAAATAGAGGCCTCCCAGGTGAGGTCCGAGTAAAAGGGGTCGGAGGATTGCGCCGCATCGCCGATGCATCGCCGACACATAGGCGACGCCGGCGTGGAGAAGAGGCGGGATCCACGTCGAGCCGCATTAGCCGATGCATCGGCGACGTGGCGCGAGCCTTCGCCCCCAGCTGCCCCGACCCCACTTACGGGAGGCCCAGGCCACAAATCCGGACCCCTTCCCGGCAGCCGGCTGGCCATCCTCAGTCGAGGCGGCCCCAGGGGGTCCAACTGGGAAGGCCCCTGGAGGCCGAAGGGTGCCCAGAGCCTCCCGCCGTGATGTCTGACACAGCAGGAACCGGCACAATTTTCGGATCCTAACTCGGGTCTCCCGTGGCCGCTCTGAAGATCCGGGCGCCCTCCGAAAGCTCTCGGCGAGGCACAGCCGCTGGAACACGACCCCGAGGCTGGAAAACCGCCAAGAGCCGACGAGGACGCCCGAAAACCTCGAACCTCGAAACTTCGCCCCCCCTCCTGTGCCCATTCCCCCCCCCTGGCATTGCTCCTGAAACAAGGCTGTGGGAATCTGGAGGTGGGGCCATCCAGGCACCTCCCGAGCCTTCGGCAAGGCGAGGCTGCTCCAGGGCGCTGGGAAAATCTCCGGGGGCCAACGAAGACGTCCGAGAACCTCGAGCCTCGAGACTTCGCCTCCCCTCCCCAGGGAGCCCACAAAAGACGTACGCGCCCAAGGATGTACATGAACACGGCCCCTCGATCCGCGAGACTAGCCGCATGATACGAACATTCGCGCAATGCGTACACTCGAAACCAGCGTGGATTCATGTACCCATGGGTCGGAAGAAGTAGGTAGAACCATGACGTAGGAAGGCGTTGGAAGTAGATTGGGTTTCTGTCCGCCCCCCAAGGAGGGTGGAAAGGGTGAAGCCACTCGATCACTGAAGTAGGAAGGCGCTTAGACTGGATTGGAATCTTGGAATCCAAAACTACCCACTTCCAACGACCGGTGGGTACGTGCACGTCCTTCCTTCGCTCCTGCCTCCCTGTGCCCGCAGGCGGGTCCCGGCCCTGCGCGAGCAAGCCCTTCCAGACGGCCCAGGCACGCCCGGAACGCCTTCGGCTAGGCGCAGCTACTGGACGGCATCCAGCAGAGGCTGGAACATGTCCAGGAACCAGCGGAGCGCGAGGCATATGTGTATATGCATATAAATGTATGTATATATGTATCTATATGTGTATGTATGTATGTATGTATGTATATATATATATATATATATATATATAGATACGTGGGCGTATCCCTCTAAATGTCAGTCTCCATATCCATATCCGCTGTCCTGGGACCCCAGCGGGCGGAAGATATGGACGTACTTCAGCCCCAGAGGGCCCGAATCGATCCAAATCCACCGACTGCCGATGTCCACGAAGATCGATCTCCCAGGCGGTGGATATGGAGAAACCCCCGACCGCCTCGGACTCAGACGTCTGGGACCCTCGGCACTCCAAGTAATTCTTTACACCCCGAGCCTGTTCCGATAACGGTCGTTACCGCGGGGTGTGGGAGGGGGGGGGGGACGTGTAACGGAGCCGCTTGGGTAGGGTGGGGCACGTCGGGACACGGGAGCAATGCGATCGCCTCAACGTACGATCGTTGCCAACGCCTGGAGGGAAAGGGCTTGGCCCCGCTCCCCAGGAACGACCGTGACGCGGGCAAGACTTGCACCCTTATCCACTGCGTCGTGGAATATTGGGCTCCCTTCCCCAGAAACCACAGGCGCAGTGGATAATGGATAATGATATAACACATCCGGCTCCTGAAGGATTCTCATCCACATCCACTGCGCCTCGACCTCTTGGCGCCCCTTCCCAGAAGGTCCAAAACTCAGTGGATATGCGCGTTACGAGCCAGATGATAAGAACATATACTATTGAAGGGGCCCCAGGACACACAAATAAACAGACACATCCGAGGATGCCCAACATCTTCTCATATCATCTGGGTCTTCGTCTTCTCCGCCGCTTCCCATATTTCCCCCATTTTCTTGGGAATCTACGTTTGCTGGTGTCTGACCAGAAGTCTGAGGGAGCGATGACTAGGAGGAGGAGGAGGAGGAGGAGGAGGAGGAGGAGGAGGAGGAGGAGGAGGAGAATGAGGTGGAGCAGGAGGAGGAGCACGAGGAGGAGCAGGACGAGGAGGAGCAGGAGGAGGGGCTCGAAGAGGAGGAGGAGGAGCATGAGGAGGAGCAGAAAGGGGAGGAGGAGCAGGAAGAGGAGGAGCAGGAGCAGGAGAAGGAGGAGGAGGAGCAGGAGCAGATGGAAGAGCAGGAGGAAGAGGAGGAGCAGGAGGAGGAGGAGCAGGAGGAGGAGGAAGAGGAGCAGGAGGAGGATGAGGAGGAAAGGGGGTCGACGACGCACTCCCCCCCCCTCCTGACGCATCCGGAGGGGGCGAGCCTGGCCCTGCCGCTGCGCAAGCAGACCCTCGGGCCGCGGGCCGGCGCCGCCCGCGTGGTCGGCGGTCAGCGCCGCGAGCTCCGCCACGTGCGCCGACGGCAGCCACCCTGGCCGCGGGGGCGCCCAGCGCCCAACGACAGAGGGCCCCAAAAACTGCATACTGCCACAGCGACTCCATGTAATAGTGTTTTTGCTCGAACTCGCTGAGCAAGCAAGGATTCAGCCAAGGTAGCAGAGTCTTGGTCGAGCATAAAATCATGGTCGCCAGAGCGTGTGTGCTGCCCATTCCCCATTGCGCGCCCACCGACAGACAGTCAGTCAAGCCAGGCGCCAGCAACGGCGCATCGGCAGGCAATCGGATTGAGCACGGTTGACTCATATAGTCCAATGAAGACGAGTCGGCCCACCGACAGCGGGCCCCATATACAGCCAGACCGCATCATCAAGGAGCCTGTTTCTTCACTGCTTGGGCCATGACGCGCGTCATGGCCCCCCCGCCCCCCCCATAACGTAACGCTCCGGCCGCCAGTGCGCCCCCGGCTGTGCCGCCGTGCGCACGGCGGGGGGGGGCGTTACATTATGCCCCCCCTGCCACCCCCTCCATTTCGCCCGTTGTCGCCGCGAATCGAGAACCGCGCTCCAGGATGCGCGGGGTAATGATGCAAAGGGCCTTGGAGGGCAGTGCTGACCTTTTTTGAGCGAGGCTGGCCAGCGAAAGTCGCTCAGGATGGGCCGATGGGTCAGGGATGCAAGGGCAACTTCTGTTGCATCCTCGAGGGACCTTGTCTGTCCCGTCGCGGCCCTGTTCGCGTCGAATCCGTGTCGAATCCGTGTCGGGTTCGTCGGATCCATGTCGAATCCGTGTCGAATCCGCGTCGAATCCATGCCAAATCCGCGTCGAGTCGGCATTGCGCCCGCGACGGGCACAAGAAAAGACACCAATTTTGGGGAACAAGCGAGGTCCTCCGAAGATGCAACGTAGGGCAACCTTGGAAACTTGCCAATCCTTGGCAGACGGGCTGAGTTCAAACACGGGATGCCGACGGTGCGCGCGGACTTCCTGGATCTGCGCTGACCCCCCCCCCGTCTGGCGCGAGCGCGCCGGGAGCGGCGCCGGAGATGCCGCCCAGGGGGGGGCCCAGGGCAGGTCCAAGAAATCCGCGCGGACCGTCGAAAGCTTTGATGCGTGTGCCGTCTTTTTTTGGGCTCCTCGAACAAGGACGAAAAGGCAGGGCGAGGAACACAAAATCTCAGACTGGCCCGCGACGGGATTTGTTTCTCCGTGTTTTGCTCCTCGAACAAAGACGAAGGCAGGGCGAGGAAAAGAAAAGCTCAGACTGGCTCGCCGCGCGAAATATCTTTTGTCCTTTTCGGCCTCTCGGGGGCCCTCGCCGGGCCGAGGGCGGGCAAACGACGACGCAAGATGAAAAGCCGGCCCTGGGGGAAATGGTCGGGACTCCTGGGAACTCCACTTTAAACAAAAACTAAACATCGCACGTCTGGGATCGGGCCAAGATAAGTCAAACATCTCTGAGATTCAGATCTGGAACGGTGTTATTCTTGACTTAGCCCCGCCCAATCAACCTCCGGCAGCCCTGGCCAGGCCCACCACCACGACGACAACACTGACGTGTGACGTTGCATCTGATGACGGCGATGCTGGTCATGATGACGATGATGCCGATGACGATGACGATGGCGAGGAAGGCGAGGAAGACGACGTCGACGACGACGAGGATGCTATAATACGAATAACAATAATACAAATGATGATGGTGGGGATGATGATGGTAATGACGATCATATTTAACATATGATAGCGATGATGAGGATGCTGCTGATGATGTTGATGCTGCTGATTCTGGTGGTGGTGATGATGATGCTGCTGTAGATAATGCTGGTGGTGATACTGATGATGAGAATGGCGATGGATGCTGATGATGGTGATGCTGGTGATGATGCTGACGTCGACGATGGTACTAGTGGTGATGGTGACGGAAACGTTACCGATGACTGGGCTGATGATTGTCATGATGGTGGTGAGTAGGTTGATAACGATGGCGATGCTGCTGATGATGATTGTGGTAATGGTGATGGCGAGCTTACCGATGGCGATGTCAATACTCATGTTGGTAATGGTGGTGGTGACGACGGTACAAGGATGACATTACGTCGTGGATGGTGATGATGGTGAGATTGATGACAACGATCATGACGGTGATGATCATGTTGAGTGTGGTGGTTATGATGATGATGTCGGCGGCGACGACAATACTGATGATAATGCTAAGGATGATGGGGATGATGCTAAGGATGATGATGCTTAGGATGAGGATGAGGATGAGGATGATGATGATGATGATGATGATGATGATGATTATGATGATGAAGTTGGGGGTGATGATGATATTATTAATGAGGCTACGAATTCTGCTTATGGTGACGATGATGATGATGGGTCATGACGACGGTGATGATGAATATGATGACGATGAAGATGAACATGAAGATGACGATGAAGATGCAGATGATGACGATGCTGATGATGTTGATAATGACAGTGGTGATGGTGTTGATGATGATGATGATGGTACTGATGACGATTATGACTGCGATGCTGATTGTAAGTATGATGAGTATGATGATGATCATCATGATGACGCTAATGATTATAATGATGATGATGATGATGATGATGATGATGATGATGACGACGACGAGGGGATGGTTATGATGGTGCTGACAGTGGCGATGGCGATGGCGGAAGCAGGGAGGGCAAAGGGGACCCCCGCTTTCAGTCGACTCGGTCGACCTCGCTTGTGTGGGAAGCCAACGCCCTAAGCCTGCGGCGACCTATGATACTTACCGTTCATGCTTGTTTTCTTATGCGAATCGTCTGCCCGCCCCAGTGGAAGGCGGACGCTACCCCTGAGCATCGTTGAAGCCATCCTTGTCCCCACTGGCATGGCCTCGGGACCCCGCACGACTTGAAGACTTAGGTGGGAATTTGTGCTTGCTCCTTCGGGCTTCGTGGGGGCTGTCCCCAACTCGGAGGGTGGGCTGACGGGGCTGAGATACCACGGCCCATTGGGGATGGGGATAGGTAAGACGATATCGATACCTTTACTTCGCGGACCTCTCCCGGGGGATGTTCTGACCAGAACTTCGAGGCGAATCCAGCCGTGGCGACAGGGGCCTCCCAGAAAGTCCAAACGGGCAGAAGTGAGGCAAGGGCCCCGAGCCTGGATCAAAACAACTGCATGATTGCTTACGCTTTCCTCCTCGGGGCCCCGAGCTGGGAGCATGGCAAAGCGACACCACCCACCAGGACCGCCAGCGGGAAGAGCCGGGGGGGGGGGTTGGTCCCCGTGGCAGTGTGGCCGTCCTCCCCTCTAGCTCGAGACATCCCCTGTCCCCAGCCGGCTCGGGGAGGCCTCGAGGACCTCCTCGCTGGAGGTTGGCGTCCCCCCCCTGATGGTGGAGGTGTCGCTTCTCCTCCTGCGCCTATTCCCCCCTGCTGATGCCCCCTGGGTCATCTGGCCAGAGCTCGGCTCTCTGGCGGCCGTCTCGGGACGATCCGGGCACCCCCAGAACGCCCTCGGCGAGGCGCAGCCGCTGGAACGCGTAATTAACGCACCCCGCGGGGCTGGAAGACCGCCGAGGAGGAGGAGGAGGAAGAGGAGGAGGACAAGGAGGAGGAGGAGGAGGAGGACCGACGACAACGCCCGAAAACCCCCATTCGGCCTTGCTGCTGGGGCAGGCCCCCTCTGAGCCCCGCGCCTGTGACGCCGCGCCCCCCCGCTCGGCAAAACGCCCAGCCGCCCGCGTCCCTCACGACGATCTCCACCGGCTCGCCCTCGGCGGCCTCGAGCGCGTCGGCGCCCGCGGCATCCTCGCTCCGGCAGGGGGGGGGGAGATATGTTCTAAGGCCCCGTGGTGCACATTGGCAGCTTCCAAGCTGATGGGAAGGGGGCCCCACCATGCTAGAACAGGCCGACGAGGAAGAGGATGACGGCGAGGAAAGAGCGAGAGAGAGAGAGAGAAGAGAGAGAAGAGAGAGAGAGAGAAGGACAAAAAATCGAGACGCCTCACTCGGCCGATATCCTCGCTCCGGGAGGGAGGGGGGGAACGTCAAGAGGCGACTTCTGGGCGGCCTCCGTGAGAAAGAGCGCATCCACCCTACGCTGGGCGATGGTTGGCGGCCGTTAGCCGAAAGGGCCTCCAACCTTCCAAAGACTGATAAAAAAACAAACGATTTGCGCCTCGCGGGGCATTTTGGGGGGGGCCCTTGAACACTCCGCTGGGCGTCGTGGAGGCCTTTTGAGATCTCATCCGGCTCGCCCTCGGCGGTCTCCAGCGCGTCGGCACCCTCGGCATCGTCGCTGCGGGAGGGGGGAACGGAACGACAGGAGGTAACTTCCGGGAGGTCTCCTCGTGGGAGATATCTTCCCCAGGGGCAGCAACAACACCACCAACAGGTAGATCGGGCGAGTAGACCCAAACGGGCAGGTCGGGAAGGCTGGCCCAGGCGGCCAGGTCGAGCAGGCGGGTTGCTGAAGCATGCGTCCTGCATGAATCGCGAGGAAGTCTCAAGCGACAGCGCGATTCCAAGCTAAATCGTGAGTTCATCTACAGCGGAAGCGTGATTCCTGAGTATCGAGGGCGCGGCGTCTGTAAAATTGCAAGGAATTCCCACGCAATATCGCGATTCCTGTATACATTGTGAGGACGTCCCGCGCGAGCGCGATTTGGGGATAAACTGTGAGGAAGTATACGGCGGGGGCCGTTGTTGTCGAAACTTAGGGAACAGAGGCCCAGTTTGGGTGGCCCCTCGCTTTCCCTTGTGAAAACCAAGGTGATAGCCACGGAAAGGGCACTTCAATTGAAAAAACACGTGCCCTGGACGGGGGGGGGGGAACAATAAGTTTGCTTCAGTAGTGAGTTCAACAACAACAACAGCAGCAGCAGCAACCACAACAGCAACAACACCAACAACAACACAACCTACATCAACCACAACCATCACCACAACAACACCAACACCAGCAACAACACAAGCAGCAGCAACAACAACAGCACCAACAACAACAACAACAAACACAACACCAATAGCAACACCAACAACAGCAGCAACACCACCATCAACAACAGCACCACCAACAGCACGACCAACAACATCAACACCACCAACAACAACCATCACAACAACAACAACAACAACAACAGCATCATCAACAACAACATCAGCACTACCAACAGCACCACCACCAGCAACAACCATTACAACAACAACAACAACACCAACAACAACAACAACAACAACAAACACACAAACAAACAAACAAACAAAAAAACAAACAAACAAACAAACAAACAACAACAACGACAACAACGACAACAACAACAACAACAATCATTTAAGACTGGGGACACTCCGTTCTCACCAGTGCCAGGGTTTTCATAGGAGGCGGGCAATACCCCCACTTTGTGGGGGGGCCGGTTCAAGCTCTACCAAATTTCCAAACGACTCTTCGCCACCACCCACACCCAGCTTCCCGCCCTATGACGTTCGGACACTTCACTTCGTGGCATGCGGACGACCGTGGCTACTATTCAGGGCCCCGCGGCCGACGACGACGGCGTGCGCGCGCGAAGAAAAAACGAATGTGTCCCGCATGGTATTATTTGACAGGGATGATGGCCCTGGCAGGTGCGCAACCGTTGTCGCAGAAGTTCGAAAAAGTTGCTCGCAAAAGCCCGTTTGACAGAAATGTTTAAAAAGTGTTGGGTTTCCTACGAATCCGCAAGAGCGCGCGGGATGAGATTTTGACATTTTTTTGTTGAAAAACCATTGGTTTTTTGATGTTTTTATGTTAAAATCGCTCCGAACACTAAGCTTTTGGAAGGATTTCGTCTTGCGCGCGCGAATGTCCACTTTACCTTATTTTTTGCAAGGGATTCTTGAAATTTGATTATATTAGAACAAGAAATGTCATTTTATAGTGTTTTTTGCAAGGGAAAACGGATTACAACAAAACAACCGGATCTGGATCACATCGTTTTACCTGAGGCTTCCTCACAAAAATGATGAAAATGTAGCTGCGGCCTAGGCGCGGGGGGGGGGCGTGCACCAGGGGGCCCAACAATAATTATTCTTTAGAATTAATAATGTTCAACAGCACCATGTGCACTGTTCTCGCGCCAGGGCGGAGGCCGAACCGAGGGGGTAGGTGGCTTGCTACCGACTCTCTGGATCACCTCCGAACGCAATCGCACAGCAAGGTTGTCCAGCGGGCGGCCAGTAGCCTTGGTGACTGTGTTGCTCTGCTTTGGCGCGTGTGTGCTGCTGTAGCGGGCTGAGTCGCCGCGACTGTTCGGATGCCGTACTACCGCTTGCTTCGGCTGGGGCGGTGGGCAGCCTCTTGACACTCAGGTGAATCTGCGAGGGTGCGCTGAGGCGCACGAGACCGAGCGTTGCCGCCGCAGGGCCAGAGGGAAACGCTTCGGTCCGAGGGGCAGTACGAGCTAGGAGCTCCTGACCTCTTTAGACGCGTGGATCATCATCATCATCATCATCATCATCATCATCATCATCACCACCACCACCATCATCATCATCATCATCATCATCGCCATAATCATCATCAGGATTCTCATCATCAACAACAACACAACAACAACACCAACAACAAGAACAGCAACAACAACAACAACAAGAACAACAACAACAACATCAACATCAACAACTGCGTAAACATACACTTTCGGAGCTCCGTGCAAATTCTGTGGACCAGCGCAGGTCCCTCCCTGCGGCGCCCTCGGCCCCGCGTGCAAGGGAGGCGGGGTCCCGCGCTGGCCCAGGCCCCCCCGACGGAGCTCCGAATCTTTGTGTGGACGCAGCTCCCCCTTACTCGAAGAACGCATTCGCCCTGCGCTAAGGCGAAGAGTCCCAAAACAACAATGCCAGAACGACACTCCTCTCCGTCCCGGAAATGGAATTGCGCCGAGACTCCCCAATCAGTGCTTGCACTGAAGGGGTCCTAGCGGGTATTGAAAAATGTTGCGAAAAAGTCCCGCCGATGTTGGCCGCCAGCTGGGCTCCCGGGCTCCTGGTCATCGGTTCCGGGCCCATTTTTCGGTGGGCTCTGGGCTCCGGGGTTCCTGGTCGACCTCCTCATCGGTCATGTTGTCGATCCCACGACTCATGATCGATCTCATGATCGATCTCATCGAACCATCCACTGATGTGTTGGGGTGCTTCTCTCGAGCGTAATCGAATTACTCAGGACATGCGCACCGGTCGATCCACGGGCGCACGGCTTCGCGCGTGACATCGGCACCGTCGCGCAAGGAGCCCCCGGTTCCAGAGGCAAAGCGCCGTACGTGTGGGCGGGACGCGTCCAGGGCCAACAAAAAACGATCAAAGGCTACTGAGTTAAGTCGGACGTGTCCCTCCACAGGGGGAACACCCCAAAAGAGTGGGAAAATAGTCTAGGGACAATGTTTGAGCATTTATCTCCCATGTTTGAAGTCCTGTTTTGACTATGTTTACTTCTTCGTCCTAAATCCGCCTGTAGGGGGACACGTCTGACGTAACTATTGAGCCTGATTACGGGGCCACAAAGCCGGATTAAGACAGATGTAGCCCCGGGATCAACCCGAGACGTTAGAAAGCAAAACGTCTGAAATGCCTTTGTTCTGTGGACCTTCCTGAATCTACTCGCTCCGCTCAGCGTCGATGCTGAGTCGAATGTCCGTCGCCTTGAGTCGAACTTGAGTCGAACTCGAGTCGAGCTAGAGAGTCGAACTAGAATCAAGCTACGGCCGAACAGATCCGTTTGTGGGCCACTGAGGGCCCCTACAGGGCGCCCCTAACGTACATCTAGATCAAAGACTAATACGCCCGATTAAGGGGCAAGTAAGCCGGATTAAGCTGGACTGGACCTAGGAGTAAGTCAGATTGCACTGGAGTAGTTTGACTAGACGGGACTCGCCAGGTTAGGAAGGTTGTTGGCCAAGGATATACCAGCGCCGATACTCAACTGATCCTCCCAGGAGATACAACCCACGGAAGGGTGGTGGTAGTCACCGCACAAGCTGGAGGTCCCTAGGAGGGATCCCGAAGGGGTCCAGGGAATGATCTTCAACGGATCTGGCCCGGCGGGAGGTATGCCGATCCCAACCCTTGACTTCGTGGTCTTCTTGACTGGACCAACGACGTGGGGCCTCACTCGGAGATGTGGGATGGGGGGCGTCCATCTTCGATCGAGGTGTCCGAGTAGTCGCCGAGGGGGGGGAATTATCAGAAGGAGGGGCCGAACGGTCATTCACTGTCCCTGGGTGCGTGGCTGAAGTGGGATTCCGCGATGCGGATTCTTGTTGTCTGTGTATTTGTTTGTTTGTGTGTTTGTTTGTTTGTTGCTGTTGTTGTTAATGTGATTGCTGGTGTTGTTGTTAATGTGATTGTTAGTGTTGTTGTTGGTGTTGTTGTGGTTGTTGTTGTTCGTTGATGGTGTTGTTGTTGTTGGTGGTGTTGTTGTTGTTGCTGTTGATGTTGTTGGTTGTTGGTTGTTGGTTGTTGGTTGTTGTTGTTGTTGTCGTTGTTGTTGTTGTTTGGCGCCTTTCCCCCCGCGACCCCGCCCGCAACCCACCCGCGAACCCACCCCGCGAACCACGCGCGACCCACCCACACCCCACACGCGGCACACCCCGCGACCCACTCGCGACCAACCCGCGACCCACCCCGCGACCCACCCGCGAACCAACCCGCGACACGCCCGCGACCCGCCCGCGACCCGCCCGCGAAGCACCCGCAACCCACCCGCGATCCTCCAGCGACCCGGTCCGCGACCAACCTGCGACCCACCCCGCGACCCACCCGCGACCCATCCGCGGCCCACCCGCGACCCACCCTCGACCGGTCCACATTGGTTTGAAGAACAAATGGGCGCCTGCGGCAGGCTCGTTGCAGAATTTATGAAACTTTGGCGCCTGCGGCGGGCTTCTCCAGAGTCTCGCAGACTGCCGACGTCCCCACCGCCCCTTCACTCTTATCCGCATCTGCGGGGTGCTACGTTTAACGAAAAGTCGGCGCCTGCGGCGGGCTCATTGCGCAACATCTAAAAATCAAGCGCCTGCGGCAGGCTTCTTCAGAGCCTCGCAGACTGCAAATGTTCCGCCGTCCCCTGACTTTGATCCGCGACTGCGGGGTGATACGTCCTGCGCGTATTTCACGATTCGGCGCGCATTTCACGATTCGACGATGACGACGACCGTGGTCCTCCCCTGGCGTGTACGCGGCGACCACCACGCCGTTCTCCGCGCCAGCGCCAGCTCCTCGCCGCACCTCGGGGTTGGCCTGCTCGATGGCGACCGCCTCCTTCTGGACCTGCCGGCGAGACCATCAGGGGAGAGAAGGAACCCAGATCTCCAGTAAATCAAACTCTGTATTTTCCTTTATGGCCCGAGGGAGCAAAGCCCAGGCGCTGGAAGATGGGCTCGACATCGTACTGGGGCACGGCCCCCAGGCGAGCCGAGGCGTCGTCTGGCGCGCCACCAGGCGAACTGCCTGGCGACGCAAAACTTTGGCGCCCTCGAGATCAAACGATCAAGCGCCGGGGTACACCAAAACAACCACCCATAAAACACAACCTTCTGCGCACATGAAAAACAAAAATGAACGTGAACAACACGAACACGTCCAAAAAACAAGAAAACAAACATCCTCGACAATCCACAAAACTCGCTCGCCTGGCTGCCCTCTCGCAACGGGGCCGGCGCTAACACTCAACCGTGAGTTCCTCATAATTGTTTTGGCTCGCCTAGGTGTTTCAGTAACCCGCCGTCGTCGAGGCACAACAAACTGCTGTCTGGTGCTAAATGCCTTCCTGTACAGATCCAGGCCCCCCCAACGTCGATGCTCCTCCCTTGCAGATTCCATAGGCAAAAATATCAACGGCATGCTTACTTCCGTCTCGGGCCTCAGGGGCAGGATTTTGGCGCCCGGCGCCGTAAGAAATTAATATGGGACGCAACACTAGCTCCAGGGAAGAGGTCGGGAGCCCCTTGACAAGAATCATATCAGAGGATATCAGGTGCGCTCGTGGCACACCTGCTCCCTCTCTCCCGTCCCTCTCATCCGCGCTCACTGGTCATTACTCCGTCTCGCGGGCCCAAATGTCGAACGAGACCTTGAATCGTGAACGGCACTTGCACTTGCAGCGCGAGGGGGCAAGGAGCCAAGCGGGATGCCGGAGCAGGGGGACGAGGCAGACGAATCGGGGGAGGGGGAAGAGGAGCAGAAGAAGGAAGCGCGAAAATACTTCACGTTGCATCTTCGGCGCACCTCGTCTGTCCCATCGCGCTGCCGTCCGCGTCGAACCCGCGTTGGAGCCATGTCGAATCCGCGTCGAATCCACGTCGAATCCGCGTCGAGTCCCTCGGAGGGAGAGGAGGAAGAGGAGGGAGAAGGAGGAGGATGAGGAGGGAGGAGGAGGATGAGGAGGGAGGAGGAGGAGAAGAAGGAGGAAGAGGAGGAGGAGGAGGAGGAGGAGGAGGAGGAGGAGGAAGGAGGAGGGAGGAGGAGGAGAAAACGAGGAGGAGAGGAGGAGAGAGGAGGAGGAGGAGGAGAGGAGGGGAGGAGGAGGAGGAGAGGAGGAGGAGGGAGGAGGAGGAGGAGGAGGAGGAGGAGGGGGAGGGAGGAGGATCGGGCACAAACATCGTTCGTCGGATACACGACAATGCCGCCACGTGCATGACAGGCACGGTCCCCCGAGGATGGGGTGCACGGTGTGCGGAGCATCGCTTCGCCGATCCCCACCTCCACTCGATGGGCCTGTCTTCCACCACCGCCACCACCAGAAGTTGGAGGGGGAGGGGGTCCTCCTCCTCCTCCGCCTCCGCCTCCTCCTCCTCCTCCTCCTCCTCCTCCTCGTCCTCCACCTCCTTCCCCCCTCCAACTTATGGCGGTGGTGGTGGAACACAGGCCCATCTCCACTGGCATGGCCTCGGCCCCTCTGGCCGATGCACCCTCCCGGTTGCGCATGCGGGCTGCTCCCCTCGGGTCTCGAGGGGCCTGTCCGCACCTGGGGGTGTTGGGACCGATGGAGCTGCGATGCAATGGCCTGGTGGGGACGGGGATAGTAACAGAACTTGAAAAAACGCCATAAATAGAAGAACTAAAAAGGCCACAAACATCAACTGTTGGCGCTCCGCGCGGATTTCTTGGCTCCGCGCTGGACCCCCCCCCATGGCGCGCGGAGCGCGCCAAGGGCGGCGCCGGAGGCGCCGCCTGGCGCGGATCCCAAGAAATCCGCAAGGAGCGCCCAAACGTTTTATGTTTATGGCGTTGTTTCTTCTTAGAAATGGGTTGTACGGTAGTGAGGGTCGCCGTATCGGTATTTGTTCCTCCTCCGAGCCACAGCGCAAGCCGTCGCAGAGCCCGCTCTGCGCCTCACCGGTGCCCTGCGGGCAGCTCCCACCTCATCGTGTCGGGGTTGTACCAGTACTGGTTCGCGACCCCGAGGTCTGCGCGGCGGACGGGCCTGAGAGAAAGACAAACATGCATAGACTTAGGTCGGGCATGTCCGCTTACAGGCGGAGCTTGGATGAAGAATCAACAATACCCCAAAACATATTCCAAAATGGTCAAAAATAAAAGAAAAGTCGTTCCAATACGATTTGTTTGACTATTTTTGCATATGCCCCCTGTGAAGGGACAGGCCAGACTTAAGCATATACGCGGACGGCGTCGATGCACCACCACGGTGTATGGCCAGAGCCTGGGTCCGTGCATGACGGAGACGCCTCCTTGCCGAGGCCAGGAGGGTCTGTACATCATTGTGGGGCCCAGGATGGCCCTCGCCAAGTACGGTGGTGGTGTATAGATGCCGCCTGCGGAGCACACTAGGCACGTCGTAGGTCATCGCGGAGATCCTGGATCGGCGCCCCCCCTGCAGGCCTGAACTGGATCGACTCGCGAAATCGGATCGGATCGAGATTGGGTCAGATCGCCAGCAGCTCGTTCGAATCGACATCGACATCGGATCGAGATCCGCCGCTCCTGGCCCTGCCCAAGAATCGAACCGAATCGAATCGGAATCGCGGCCCCAGCAGGCCAAGCGAATCGAATCGCATCGCATCAGGTTGTACGGCAGGCTCGTGTCGTGCCGACTTCGGCGTTGGTTTCTGACACCGCGGGGATCATTCAACCTTGGAACGATCGGCCGCTTCCGAAACATACATTTCGTTCCACATCGAACGATTGTGGGTCGCCCGCGGCGTTCAAAGTTGAACGCCGCTGGCGGGGTCGCCGCCGGTCGACACGACACGAACCTACCGTATGCGGCCCTGCCCGGCGCGCAGACGCGGCGCCGGGGGGCCCAACGCAGATCCCAGAAATTCGCGCGGACCCCCGAAATGTCAATGCGTTCGTGATAAGGACACCTCCTGGGAGATCGTCGTAAAAACGATAAACCGGATTAGGGAACCGCTATTCCGGATGAGGCGGGATTGAGTCCAGGATCAGGCTGGATTAAGACACCTTGGCCTTAGTAGGCGGGATTATTCTGGACCGTAGCGCTCTTCGAACACGGCTCTACCAGCGCCGAGGCTGAATCTACGATCCCCCACCCTGAAAGAAAAACACAACTCCATAAACATATTGGCGCTCCGCGCGGATGTCTTGGATCTGCGCTGCATCCCCCTCCCTGGCGCGCGGAGCGCGCCAGGGGCGGCGCCAAAGGCGCCGCCGGCGCCGCCGCCGGCGCCGCCGCCGGGGGGGCCAGCGCGGATACAAGCAATCCGCGCGGAGTGCCGAAAGTCATAGCGATTGCTTCTTCGACAGGAGTGGCAGCCCAGTGCATGCTTTAGGTCGGGCGTGTCCCCATGGAGGCGAATTCTGGGAGAATAATCAGAAATTCGCAAAACAATATTCAAAACATATTCAAAAATAGAAAAAATAGTCCTAATTTAATGTTTTGACTAGTTTTGATCTTTCCTCCCGTAGAGGCACGCGCCCGACACAACGCATGGCGTTTCGGTGCCTTCCGCGACGGGCCTGCTCCACAGGCGCCTGACGAGCTGCAGCACGCCAGGCCTCTGCTCCTCCGCCGGCGAGGCGGCCCGCGCCGGCGAGGCGGCCCGCGTCGGCGCCCTGCTCCAGGCAGAGGAGCGGCGGCGCGCGCACGAACTGCCATAGGGAACCGAGCTCAGAGCTCTATACACCGCCGCTGTTTCCTGCCGTGCACTGAAGGCTGCCCAGGAACGCGGATCCTGGTGTATACGGGATCCTGGTGTATACGCTGTTGCTTCCCCGGGGGGATAGGGCAACAAGTAAACACCACACCACCCCGACTTCGTCCCCGACCCTCAAAAAGTCCAAGGATTGAAAAACAGCCCGCCACTGGTTCTGTATATGCTACAGTTTCCGTTTTCCCAGCGCCTCCCGGCGCCAGGAGGCGCCCATGCATCGAGGGATGAACCCGGCGGCGGGGCCGCAACCAGTTGCATGCAGCAGACTTCGCACCCCCCCTTTCCCTACCCCCCCCCCTTCGTTCGGCCCGATTTCAGCGTTTCGCGCGGATGTGAGCGACAATCAAAAGCGGATCTCGCGCGAGACGGCACAACGACCTTACGCGATGGCCTGCGCGGGCTGCCGGCGCTGCACGCCACAGTGGAGGCGAAGGCGCTCACGCGCGACCCTACGCGTGGAGCCTGCGCGCCAATGTCGGCGCAGTTGGGCCCACTTCTTTTCGTCGCCAATGTGGTCTGGGGTGCTTCATCTCTCCTCCTCATACCTCCTGCTCCTCCTTTTCTTCTTCTTCTTCTTCTTCTTCTTCCTCCTCCTCCTCCTCCTCCTCCTGCTCCTCCTCCTCTCCTCGTCCTGCTCATTCCTCTCCTCCTCCTCCTCCTCTCTCCTCCTCCTCCTCCTCCTCCTCCTCCTCCTCCTCTCCTCCTCCCCTCCTCCTCCTCCTCCTCCCCCTCCTCCTCCCCCCCCCCCCCCCCTCCTCCCTCCTCCTCCTCCCTCCTCCCTCCTCCTCCTCCCTCCTCCTCCTCCTCCTCCTCCTCCTCCTCCTCCTCCTCCTCTCCTCCTCCTCCTTCCTCCTCCTCCTCCTCCTCCTCACTCCTCCTCCTCCTCCACCCTCCTCCTCCTCCTCCTCCCCTCCTCCTCCTCCTCCTCCTCCTCCTCCTCCTCCTCCCCTCCTCCTCCTCCTCCTCCCCCTCCCCCTCCCCCCTCCCTCCCCCTCCCCCTCCCCTCCCCCTCCCCTCCCCCTCCTCCCTCCTCCTCCTCCTCCTCCTCCTCCTCCTCCTCCTCCTCCTCCTCCTCCTCCTCCTCCTCCTCCCTCCTCCTCCTCCTCCTCCTCCTCCTCCTCCTCCTCCCCTTCCCCCCCTTCCGTAGCCATTTTGGCTCAAGTACCCACTTGGCTTGAGCTGGCCGCCGCCCGTGGGGCCCGCGCCCCGCGCTGTTGCCGCGCGCCATGTCCTCTAGCTGAGTGCCCGGGGGCTGCACCAGGCATCTGTGCTGTACTTGAGGGGCGGCATCTTCGTTGGCTGTCATCGTCTACAGCCTGAGGGAGTTGCTGCTCAACGCCCGGGAGAGCTGGCTACCTGGTCCATGCGATTTTTCATTCCGCAGCACTTGGCCTCGACTTCTTTGTTCGAGCAAGTCAACAATCTTCGTGGAGATCATGACATCATTATTGTCGATGCCGGAAGCGCAGCCGCTATGTGTACGGGGCTCGGAGTCTATTCTCTTGAAGGTGCAAGGTCAGTTTCGGCGCATTGTACGCCCTCCTTCACTTCTCCGTGGGCTGCGCCGGGCCAGTGGTACGGAGGCGTTGGCTCCGCCTCAGCCTATGCCGCCAGTGCCGCCATGGCCCGCATCGAACGTACGCTCCAAGAAGATCAAGCAGCAGAAGCCGCAGTGCAAGAAATACGGCGGGAAGAAACTCATCGCGAAGGGCCGGCATCGGGACAAGAAGAAGCAGAAGTACCAGCAGAAGGGGAAGCCCGTCAGGAAGAGGCGCAAGCGCGCGTCCGGGATGAAGGGAAGCTTGACGACTGTGGTGGCCGAGAGGCCGCCTGCGCCACCGCCTCCCGGAATGTTCGTGACGCCGAGCGTGACCTCCAGGGACCCCTACTCGAAGGTTTTGGCGGAGGCTGTGAAGCCGCGTGTGCCGCCGCCGCCGGTGCCGACGAGGATCAAGGTGGTGATGATGCCACCGCCGCCGCCGCCGCCTCGGCTGCCGATACCTCCTCCGCGCAGGAGCTGAAGCCGCAGGAGGCCTTCTATATTGGCACGGACGACGAGGATTTGGATCATCCAGTCTGCCGCGCTGGGGTTGCTGAGGATGCGGATGGCGGCGAAAAGAAGGTACACAGGCGCAATCGCCGCAACAATAACAAGAGGAAGAACAAGCAGAAGGATCCAGAGGAGGTCTCGAATGTGGCCTCCGCTATGCTACAGCCTGTTGGAGTAGGTGTGGATGCAGCTCCTATGCCTGAGCCAACTGGCACACATCAAGGGGATGGGAATGGCGATGGTGCCCTGGAGGAGTTTTCCGACCAGGATCTTCCGAGTCGTCGTGTCGAGGACTTCTCTTTCCTCGAGCCTCACATGATCGAGCGCTTGGTGGAGAGGGGCTTTCTTCGCCGATGAGTTCAACAAGCTTGTCCGGTTATTCCGTGCACTTTTTCATCACGATCCTTTTTGTCATTTCCATCTGAGGTATCTCGAGCCTGCTTGCCAGTCGCCTTGTGCAGCCTGTCATGCAGTGGCCCACAGAAAAATCCTCCCCTTCCCCAGGCGGGGTGTGCCTGCCCCTCTCCCCTCTGCCCCTGGGTCGGGAAGGGGGGGCAGGGTCGCGACCCACTGGAGCGTCCAAGATGGCCTCGGCGACAAGGCAAACAGCATTGAGTCGACTTCGGTTTGGGCCCGCTTGGGCATCCTGCAGGGGAGGCTCCCCTGTGTCGATCGATCTCCTCCAAGATGGCCCCCGAGGCCAAGAGCCCCCAAGAGGGCCCCAAGAGGCACCCAGGAGGCGCCAAGGAGCCTCCAAGAGGTCCCCACAAGGCTCCCAAGAGACCCCCAAGCGGGCCCCCCGAGGCTTTCAAGACGCTTCAAGAGGCCCCTGAGACCGCCAAGAGGCCTCCAAGACGCCCCAGGAGGCCCACAAGAAGTTGTCAAGAGTCCAGAGACATCCAATGAGACTCCGGAAAGCATCCACGAGGCCTCAGGCCTCTCTGCTCGCTCTCGTCCTCCTCCTCTTCTTCTCTCTTTTTTTACGTTGGCCAAACCTGAACCCTAAGATTGTGGCGTTCCACATCCTCCTCCTCCTCCTCCTCCTCCTCCTCCTCCTCCTCCTCCTCCTCTTTGTCTTTGTCTTTGTCACCCGCCTATTCCTCCTTCTCCTCCTCCTCCTCCTCCTCCTCCTCCTCCTCCTCCTCCCACCTCCCTCCTCCCCCTCCCCCTCTCCCTACTCTTTCTCCTCCGATTCCTCCTCTATCCTCCCACTTATCAGGGTATGACTTCTTACCCGGCCCTAATCGAGGATCGCTGATGTGGTCACGCGAAGCGTCTGGAATTCCAGCGCTCCGCGCGGATCTCTCGGGATCGGCGCTGGGCCCCCCGCCCTGGCGCGCTGAGCACGCCGGGCGGCGCGGGAGGCGCCGCAGAGGGACGTCCCCAGCGCCGATCCAGGAGATCGGCGCGGAGCTCCCGAAGTTTGTGCCCACGCCGCTGCTTCTTCGTCCATGCTTGGCAGGGGTGAGCCGCGCCACCGCGCCCGCTCCTCCTTCGAGCAGGGGACCGACTACAGAATTCTGTTACCCAAAAATTGATTTTCCCGCCGAAGCTGCGGAAGAGATGTGCAGAGTGTCCCGTAGATCCACGGGCACTCTACGGGGTTTCTGTATACTCGTGGGGGGAATCAATGTTCGAGAACTTCGATTTTGTAGTCGATCCCCTGTTCGACTCCTCCGAGTCGTCGCCGGTGGCGGCCCTCGGCGCGCGGTAGTTCGCGCGAGGCGAGCGCGAGGCGGCCGCCCCCAGCGAGGGTCTCCGCGAGGGACTCGACGACGCCTGCGCCAGCCAAGACGCCCGGGCGACGTCGGCGGACCGCTTTGCTGAAGGAGCCCTGGGACACACAAATAAATACACACAAATAAAAATATTCCCGTATGTTTTCTCATTTTTTTGGATTTTCGTCTTCCCCCCCTCTTCCCATATTTTCCCATCTTTTCTTTGGGATCGACGATTAATTGTGTCTGTGTGTTTTTGTCCCTCCTGACTTGCGCGTCCTGGCCTCGCAAGATCGGGATCCACGAAAGTCGGGTTGACCCAAGAGGGGGTCCAGCGACAAGGGGTGGTGCAACAGGTTTGGTGCAATAGACGTGTGGGGTTGCATCACACTTGTGGCGCGCAGTGCATTCCAGGGCGCAGATGTATTGCCAGATTTTTGCGTGCAGCACACTACTTGCAATACAATGCAATGCGAATCTCTGGCGCAATACATTTGCAATACAGGTCCCTCAAATCTATTGCACCAACACCCTTTCAGCTGGACCCTCTTTTGGGTCGACAGGACACAGGGGGGAAGGACCCTGAGGGGGGGCATGAATTCGATCCATTGGCGCACCGAACTGCCGCAAACAGATGCCCCCCGCATAACCCGTATCTGCGACTATCGGGAGCTGCTGGCGGCTGGGGGGGCATCTGTTTTTGGGGCGGTTCATCTGTTTTTGGGGCGGTTCGGCGCAAAAGCCGATCGAACTCACATCCACCCTGGGGCACACACCCCCTCTGCGGGATCCCGAGAGGAGGGCGGGCTGAGACAGCGGTCCTGTGAGTCCAACAAATGCTGTGAAGAGACTCCTGGGGCCGAGCATGGCACCTGTCTGGACGGCAAGAGGTCGCCCGCCGGAGCCGCGCCCCTCTCGGCACCGCGCGAAGCATAGCAGGCAGCAAAAACTGAAACGCCCGCTGGGGAACACAAGACCTCTTTCGCCGCCGGGAACGCTGCCCCCCCCCCCCCCCCCCCAGGCACAGCACGAGGGAGGGAAAGAGGGTTCCTGGGGTCCTCCCCTCCTGCTTCCAGGGCTGGCCTTCGGCGGCCTACGGGGGGGCTGCTCGTCGCCACGGCTGGACGCGGCTTCTTGGCAAGCTGGTGCGCCTGGACCCCGAGAGCGGCCTTCGGGGAGCGACTTTGAGCTGCCGTTGTCTCCAACTCGCCCTGCCCTCCGAGGGCCGCGGCCCGTCCCCTGGGCCCGGAACCGGCGCACCACCATGAGATCTGCGAGCTGCGCTGGATTGCCGTCCACCCTGGGCGCCTTCGCCCCGTTTCGGGCCCCGGGGCCATCACAGATCGACCCGCCGCGGCAAATGTCGCAGAAGGTGCGGGTCCAGGGCCCCGGGCGACTTTTCTGCGGCGATGCTGAAGGATCTGTCCGGTGACCTGGGATCTCGGGGCAGGCCCTCCATGCGGCGGCGAGCGCAGGGGGAACGCCTCAAGGGGGCGGGCCTTCCCAGAAGGCTCAGAAGGCTCTGTTGGGCGCCCGAATTATCCAGGGTAACTCGGGTCCGGGGTAACTCGGGTTTGGATTCCCGAAAAACGAACCCGAATGAGCCCTGACGCGAGTTACCCCTGATGATGTGGGGCTCTGGACGCCCGAATTATCCGGGTAACTCGGGTCCGGGGTAAGTCGGGTTCGGATTCCCGAAGAACGAACCCGAGTTAGCCCTGACCCGAGTTACCCCTGATGATTCGGGGCTCTGACTCTGGGCAGCGGCCCAAGCCTTCTCCCAAGGCACGGCGGGGGCTCCTCAGACAGCCACGGGGCGTCCGAGGAGCCCGGCAGCGAGCACGCCTGCCCCCTCGCGCTGCCCCCCTGGGCGCGCGGCTGCCTCCCGGCTGGGCCAGGGGGGCGCAGAGGCCGATCCCGGGCCCACGACCTGGCCGCTGCCAGGCGCCCGACGGTGTGAGCTTTGCAGCGCGTGGTCGCAGATACTCAGAGGAGGGCAGGGTGAGACAAGCGTGAAAAATCTGTGCGTTTGGACCCCGGGAGGGGTCCAGGGACCGATTTTGACCTGATTTGGCCACCGTTGTCGCACGGCCGTTGTCTCACGTTGCCCGCCTCCGAGATACCCTTTCACCCCCCCGCTCACTTCTGTGGGTCTCCCGCCCCGGCCACGGGCCCTGCAGAGGCGGAAGCTGCACCCAAACGACGCGGTGAAACAGAAAAAGTCACATCGTCGGCTGCCTCGGCTCTCGGGGCCCATGCCTCGGGCTTCCCGTGGCAGGCGCCGGTGCGACCCCGGGCACCTCCGGGACGCCCCCGCGGCGAGGCGCATCTGCTGGAGAGTCTCCCGAGGCCGCGAGACCGCCGAGGACCCCGGAGGCGCCAGGAAGCCTCGAACCTCGAGCCGGCGGTCCGCGGACGCCCCCCGAGGACGGCGACGCGGCGGGCGGCCCGGGCGAGGCAGCGGGCCGCAGCGGCCTCGCCGGCCGGAGAGGCTGCCGGCCCGCGGGCGACACCGCCCTCGCCGCCGGCGCCGGCGGCGGGCCCGGCGGCGGCGGCGGGGCCGCCGCAGCGGGGGCCTGGGTGCTGGGCTGCTGCGCCCAGGGCGCGTCCGTGTGGGGGATGTCGTCAGCAGAAAGAAAGACAGTGAACGTTTTCGGCATCCTCGTTGGGCGGGAGGGTGGGGCACACACACACACACACGCACACACACACACACACACACACACACGCACGCACACACACACGCACACGCACGCGCACGCGCACACGCACATGCAAACGCACACGCAAACGCACATGCACGCGCACACTCACACGCACGCGCACGCGCACACGCACACGCAACCGCACACGCACACGCGTGACTGTTTGCAACAGTGCGTCCCAGGGGGGGGACTCCACCTGCTTGAAACAGGCGCAAAACACAGCCCAGATCTACTCCATGGTGGGGGAGGTGGATGGGGGGGGGTGCGAGGGCCCGCGCCGGTCGGCAAAACAACGAATAATAAGAAAACGATCACGATGTATAAACATAATCTATCGCAGGTCCGCGCGGGTTTCTCGGATCGGCGCTGGGCCCCCCTCCCTGGCGCGAGGAGCGCGCCAGTGGCGGCGCCAGAGGCGCCGCCGGGGGGGCCCAAGCGCCGATCGAAGAAGTCTGGGCGGAGCTCTGGATGTGATGTCTATGCAGTTTCGTTCTGCTTCGAGGCCGTTCTGCTGGTGGTGCCTGAGCAGCATGTGGCACTGGTAGTGGTTGTTGCTCACCGCCAGATCCAAGGGGGCCTCACCGCTGGTCCGAAGAAGGAAGTCGGCACTGTAAGCATGAGCCGTCGGAGGTGCGCGCGGGCGGATTTGCGGGATCGGCACCAAGGTCCCCTCCCCCACGCCCTGGAGGGCGCGCGAGCTCGGCGCCAAGGAAGACCCGTCGCCCGTCCGAGAAATCGGCGCGGACCCACAAGAGTTGGCAGTCAAACTGGACCACAACAGCGCACGTCAAGGACACAAAGCCTTGGACGCCCAACGTCACTGGTTTGAGCGGAGCCGACCCTTGGAAACTTGAGCGACGATCTGAAACGGGACTGATGCGAGATGACATAATAACCTTTCGCGGCGGCTTACGCGGGCCACCAACGCGGCACGTCACATTGGAAACAAGGGCGCTTGCGCGCGACCTTGCGCGGGAAACTTACGCGCCAATGTCGGCGCAGATGGACCCGTTCTTTTCGTCGCCCAACCTGTCCTCATGACCCAGTCTGACTGACTGTATGCTGATGCCGATTTCTCTTCTTCAAGCTGTCGTTGGGGAGGGACGCGTCGGCGCCGCACAGGAGCAGTAGATGGCAACAGTCCAGCCGCCCCATTGCCGCCGCTTCGTGCAAGGCGGTGTTGCCGCCGTGGCAGCACGCCTGCAGGCTCGCGCGGGCGTCGAGCAAGACTTTCACCACGTCCGCGCAGCCGTACTTGCACGCGACGACGAGCGGTGTCGCTCCCGTCCTGCTCGAAGAGGAGAGAGCGGCATAAACATGACCGTTCGCCGCGCCGAACAGGTGTCTCGGATCGGCGTTTGGTCTCCTTCCGTGGCGGGCGCACGGGGCGCGCCAGTCGCGGCCCTGCAGGCGCCACAATACGGCGACGAAATCTATAAATATCCAGTGTTGCCTGGCCAGGCCCATTCCGAACCCAGCAGCGCTGTATCTGCCACGCCCCCCTCTGGCTTGGCCAAGAGGGCGTCTAACCACACAGTTCCTGGGTTCACGATGGGCCTGGTCAGGGAGCAGTGGGTGTGTAACCAACTGCTCACGATAATAATCCCCGCGAGATAATAAACTTCGGGGGTCGGGCGGAGATAATCAGCGATTTTTCGGGGGACGGTGATGGTAACTATGATGATGACGATGATGCTGATGATGATGATGATGATGATGATGATGATGGTGACGATGACGATGACGATGATGATGATGCTGTTGATGATGATGATGATGATGATGATGATGATTATAATGATGATGATATTGGTGATCCTGGGCGCTCAAAGGCCCTGCCTGCTCGAAAAACGCATGTAATTTCAAAACCCAATCGGTCCCCATGGCCCTGTCACGCGTTCCTGACTCGGGAAAGGCTGAGAAAATGAGAATCCCATGGCCCTGCTGCACGTTCGTGTTTTGGGCAAACTGAAATGGTGAGAATCCCATAGCCCTGCCACACGCTCGTGATTGCGGAAGCTGCTATGGTGAGGCCACCATGGCCATGCTCAGCGTATTTGATGCTGGCTACTCAACATGAGATGATACCAACGTCGATTCGCAACTTCCCCCTTGGATCATCATGTTCGGCCTCCGCGCCCCTGTCCACAAGTGAATCCTACTGACGCCACAGGAAAATATAGGGGGTTAAGGGGGGGAGTCGGCTTAAGGGGGGGGGGTTAAGGGGGGTTTATCGTGGGCAGAGAGTTATGGATTTCGTCGCCCGACGCCAGCGAGGCCCAGCGCCGATCCAAGAACCCTGCGCGGAGCTCCGAACGCCAACGTTTCTGTAGTTTGCTCCTCCTCGAGTCCTGTCGGGCAGGTCCACCTCCGCCTGCCGCTGCAGAAGGAAGAGCGCGCCCTGCATCGAGCCTCCCGCGCAGGCGTAGTGCAGCGCGCTGAGGCCCGCGGGGTCGACCACGTCCAGCCGCCCCTCCACCTCCGCGTACAGCTGCATGAAGAACAAGTTGCCGTCGAGCGCCGCCTGGAATATGCTCGTCGTGGGCCGCGGGTCCTTCCACAGCGAAAGGCGGAGCAGCTCGTTTCGCCAGAAGGTGGGCCGGGACGGCTGCGACTCGTCCACGACCTCCGCCCACGTGCCCAGCACACCGCCGAGCTCATCGGGCTGGGTCCACCGCGACTCCTGCCGTTCCTAGAAGAAGGAAGACAACCATAAACATAAACTTTTGGCGCTCAGCATGGATTTCTTGGCTCCGCGCTGGACCCCCCTCTCTGGCGCGCGGAGCGCGCCAGGGGCGGCGCCGGAGGCGCCGCGGGGGGGGGCCAGGCGCGGATCCAAGAAATCCGCGCGGAGCGCCACAAGTTGATGTTTATGGCGTGTTTTCTCCTTCGAGTTCCTCGTGGTGGAAAAAGAGCCGGCCCTCATGGGTCGGGAACACGGCCAGAGGAAGGAGTAGCAGCACACGCATAAACTTTCAGAGCTTCGCGCGGGTCTCTCGCCTCGCTGCAGGGGGCGGCGGCGGAGGCGCCGATCCAGATCCGCGTGGAGGGCCAATGATCAAGGGGACGAGGGAAAGAACAGTAGGTGAAGGGAGGTGGAAGAAGAGAAGGACAAGAAAGAGTTTCGTCGTCGCCCCTCAACCTGTGATGAGCATACGGCGCTCAAATGTCACTTGATCTCTTGGCATGGCCCTCCCTCCTTGCTCACACAAAGCTTATGCTCATGCCGCTTGTTCGTCCTCGGATGGTCCAGCCCTGCCAGCGCCAGTCCTGAGGAGCAACGATAGGGGGCGGGACTGGATGAAGGGGGGGGGCATCGACCAGGAATCGGCGATACATCGCCGACAGATCGGCGATAGGCCTCAGGCAGCGAATCCGCATGTTCCTGGGCGGGATGGGCTATCAGGCCCCAATCGGCGATCCATGGCCGATTGGGTGTCGATGCGTTCCCCCCTGATCCTACCCCCTAATGTTGCCCTTGAATTGAGCAGGGACCGACCGCCCTGCCATTCCTATAGGCCTACCACGACATGATCATCGCATCCAATTCTTTGAACAACGAACGTTGCGTGCAGCTTAGACCATTCTTTGGTGGACCTATAGGCAAGCAAAGACGCCTCGACACTGCTCGACTGAAGTCCTCGTCGCCCAGGTCGCCGCCAGCACCGGCCGCGAGGGCTGCGGTGGACGGTTTCCCCCCGGTCCGTCCGTAGGCGACCCGAGGAGGGAGGGCGAGGAGGAGGAGGAGGAGGAGGAGGAGGAGGAGGGGGAGGATGAGGATGAGGATGAGGATGAGGATGAGGATGAGGATGAGGATGAGATGATGATGATGATGATGATGATGATGAGGAGGAGGAGGAGGAGGAGGAGGAGGAGGAGGAGGAGGAGGAGGAGGAGGACGGGTCGCCTAGGCCCTTCGGAGAAACCCTCCAGGCTGCGGCGTGGTCGCCGGAGGCGGGCGGCGGGCACGGGCTGCCCGCGCCGAAGCGGGGCAGCGGCGCGCCGCCGCCCGCCTGCGGCGGCGCCGCGCGCGGCGCCTCCGCCCACCCGCGCGCAGACCGCGCGGCGGCCTCCGACTCCGCCAGCAGCCGCTCCGTCAGGCGGGGGCCGGCGGGCGCCTGCGCGCCCGACGGCGGCTGCGCCGCGGCGAGCGCGGCCTCCGAGGCCTCGGCCTCCTCGCTGGCCGCCTCCGCGGCCACGCCCAGCGGCGGCGGCTGCGCTGCGGCGGGCGCGGCCTCGGAGGGCACGGCCGCCTCGCCGGCCGCCTCCGCGGGCGCTGCCAGCGGCGGCGGAGGCGATCGCGCCGCCGCCACTGGGCCGGAGGGGCCGCCAGTGGGCGCGTGTGCGCCGGCGGCGGCGGCCGCGGCCCCGTCGGCGCCCTGCTGGCCCTCGGCGCCTCTCCTGGGGGCGCGGTTCAGCAGGTCGCCTCGTTCGCCCCCGCCGCGGACTGTGCCCGTGCTGTGCCTCGCCGGCCGCAACGTCAAGGCATCGGCTTCGGCGGCCAGGGCGCCGATCAGGCCATCCGCCTGCGCGGGTCGCCTCCAGGCTGCCGACGAACTGGCCTCGCCGCACTCTCCTCTCGGGGACGCCTGCGGCGATAGTGGAGGAACAAAAACACCGGATGAGCATAATCGTTCGGAGGTCCGTGCGGATCTTTTGGACCAGCGCTGGGCCCCTGGCCATCGCTCGGACGTCCATTCCCTGTGTTTTTTTCGGATTCGTGCGTGGTTTTTCACCAAATGATCAAGGATGCTCCTCGATGGTCCTCGCCGAAGGAAAAATGCACACGTCCGAGCGATGCCAAGGCTCCCCTCCAGCACAGGCAGTCAACGGGCCACGGCCCGCGCATGATGCCCCCCCGAGGGGCCCGCGGGCTGACCAGCCGGCGCACTCGAGGCGCTCCGCGCCACTCCGCTCCGCTGCCCCTCCCTGGCGTGCGGAGCGCGCCAGGGAGGGCCCAGCAGCCGACCCGAGAGCTCCGCGCGGACCTCTCCGAACGGTAATGCGTACAGTCGGGGCGCTGACCTAAGGAACCCTAAATAAGGAACGAGGCCCCTTTCCTCCAGAAGTTGAACTTCGACTTCCCTTCGAAAACCTAAGGAAAACGTGGGGCAAACTGTGAAACAATTGAGGAACACGGAGCCCCTACCCAACGAAAAGAATTCCTTCTTCAGCGCCCCGACTGTATGCTGGTTTCTGTTCCCCCGGATGAGCCACGCGGCGGGGAGCCCGCCCTGGACCCGAGGAGGCTCAGCCCGTCCTCGGTCATGCCGAGGGACTCCGAGTCCCACTCCGAGGACGCCATGGAGGTGAGGTCCCCGCACTCGGAGGACGCCCTCGAGCTGGGGATCCGCACCTGCGTCTGGAGCCGCTGCAGGAGCGAGGCCACGTCGCGCTCCACCTCGGCCTGCCGGGATCGAAAGCGGTCGAATTGGGCCTCGATCTTCTCGTACTCGCGCACGTCGTCCTCCGCGAGCCCCGCCTGCCCAGTGCTCGAGGATGCGCCTCACGAGCGGCGAGCGAAACAACCCATACCCCTGCCCTCGCGGTCTGGATTCCGGGGCGCGATGCCGCGGATACGCGTTCGCACGGATACGTTCCGCGTGGGGCATCTGTGGAAAACACGCCCTGCATTCGCGGGGTCGCGGCCCAGGGGCCTTGCCCGCGAGGCCACGGATACAGTGAGAGCTCGACAACAAGGAACCTGCCACAAGAACCCCAACCCTGAGACCCTGGTGTGGGAACGTCACGCTTTCCACAGCAAAGCCATCGAAACTCAAGACACCCGAGCACCCTGGAGGCGAGCGGGGTGTTTCTTGGAATGGGTCTCCACTGTCGTCTCTGGCCTCAGGAGACCCCCCGAGAATAAGGAGGCGGAGGAGGAGAATGAGGAGGAGGCGGAGGAGGAGGAGGAGGAGGAGGCGGAGGAGGAGGAGGAGGAAGAAGAGGAGGAGGAGAATAAGGAAGAAGAGGAAGAGGAGGAGAGGAGGAGGAGGAGGAGGAGGAGGAGGAGGAGGAGGGGTGTCCACTGCACGGATGTGTTTCTCGCCCGCGTGCGCCGCCCGCCGAGGTGTCCGCCAGACTCTCCATCAGGCCCGGGCCCTTGTGCGGGCTCCCGGCCCAGGGGCTGGGGATCTGGTCCTCCTCGACCGACGAGTCGTCGTCGCCCTCCATGGAGAATCCGCCGAGCACCGCTTGCCCAGGGGTGGAAAAACAGGGCGCGGGGTGTGGGATACTCCCATCAGCCCCTCGGGCGTAGGTGGTTCAACGGGTGTTTGTTTCCTGACTTCCAATAACCCCCCTGCCCCTGCTCAAGGAAGGTTTTCATCACGGATCCCAATTCGTATACACCCTCTCCTCCCAGGTGGCCGACAGCCACAGGAACAAAAAGGACCCCATGAGGACTCCCCCAAGCCATCCTTGACAAAAGCAACGCGAACACACACTCTGCCTCCCAATTCGAAACATGCGCAACCAACCCGATGCGAGCTCCCACCAACATCCTGCTCGAAAAACAATGCAAAGTACACTTGGGGGCAACGTCTGGAAACATGTTCGCGAGGCCCGCGGGCATTCTGCATTATTTGAAAAAGGACGGCGGGGGTGTCAGCTGATTGCCCTGTGCGCAGGGCTACCATCCCCGACCCAAAAATGCAGAATGCACCGCCCAGTTACATTTGGATCTTCCGCGGCCACACCGTGATCATTGCCAAGTGGTTTTTGAGAAGGACGGCGGGGGTGGCGGCGTATGGCCTGCTGTGCGAAGGCCCACCAGGCACAATGATGGGCATTGGTTTTCGACAAGGATGGGATTATTATGTTTTCCGATGTATTATGTCACGTGCGCGGGCGCACCTGACGCACTCTGCACGTGCCCCGGAAGCGGCGCATCTGCCGCGGACGGGATATGCAGCACATCTGGCGCACGCTGGGGCACGTGGCGCATCTGGCGCACACGTCGTGCCTGGCACGCTCTGGCCCCAAATTGCGCTTGGCGCGCGCGGCGCACCGAGCCGTCGCGCACATGGGTTTGGTTATGGTCCCCAATAGCTGCCCATCCAACAATGAACGCTGAACATGCTGAGGTTGGGGTGATACTTATGTGTTGGGATGACGGGCGGTCGTGACCTAAACGGCTCGCTAGTCTACATTACGCGCGCTTGGTTCCTACGCGATTGGGTGTTCCTCTCGATCCGCCCCGCGAACACGGCCGCAACAGCGCGGGAACACTGGTCGCTGGGATAAGCGCGGGCAAGGCGCGGCACACATCGCGAGACGACGGCGGCGTGGAAGCAGAGACAGGTGGGGGAAATGATCATGATGCTGGCGGAAAAGTTCCACGTGGACATCCAGTCGGGGAAACAAGGAAAACATGATTCGGGCGACAAGCAAAAAGGATGAATCATTCGGCTCCCGCCCAGGAGGGGTAGGTTTCGAGGAAAAGTGCCCCCCCCCCCTACAGGTTTTGAGGGGGGGGCCTTTGAGGAGGAAACGGGGGAGGTTCGGACAACGGGGTTTTCTTGGGTGAAGAATTTTTGCTCGGAGAATGGGGGGTCCGGAAAATGGGGAAGTTTTGATTAATTGAGGCGCCCCTGTCTTCTCCCGCTACCCCTCCCTCCCTCCCTGCTCCCTTTCTTTCTTCTCTTCTAAACGTTTTTTATATAACCAAAAATATATCCGTGCCTGTCGAGCGCTAAATTGTCGCGCGGCTACGCCCTCTGCGCTGGGGCGGAGACGGCGGCGAAGAGCAGGGGCTAAGAGAGGGAGAAGAGATCACGGCAGGAGCCAAGAGACGGCGACAACAACGCGACGGCGACGCAAAAGCACTGATAATGCACCAGGGGTTCCTCCGCGGAGCCCCGCGGCGGCGTTCCTGCCATCCCTTAGTGGCCGCGCGAGGAGCTGCGAATGCTACATCGTAATTTCGCATTGGCCCCATCGGACACCCGAGTGATAACCTTTCGTGGCCTGATCTAGACCCATACTGGGCCAAGGGTA